AAACGTTATTTCCATTTCTTCTACTTGGTTGTGTTCTATGACTTTTTCTATGTTTCCATTGTTTGCAAATCGGTTATTTCAATTATTGCTCAAGAAATGTAGCACAGTGTTAAATCAGTTTTATTTTTAGCCTATATCAAATTGTCCAGGATTTCTCGCTCTTTTCCATTACAATTATTACACCAACCCAAGTTTCGTCTACAGATGCAATATGCCAAAGAATATTACCTACGTACAATCTCCAAGAAGTGGGAAAAAAGGCCAAAACCAACCCATACAATAGATATAAGTTAACTCCATAAGAAATAATTTTAAAAATTACTGTGATTAGGATTTTCCACTGATTTGGTAATAGAACATTATATTGCAAAACATGACACGATGCAGAAGAAAATCAATTTTAAAATCAGAAAAATCCATTGCAAATACTGTACTTAATTTTGACAAATTCAATAAATCACAATTTAAATATTAACAGCTGTTGCATTAAAAAGTAGTGTAGAATTATGCATATGGTCGTAATGTAAACAAACCTGAAGAGGCAACTTTAAAGGCTTCTGGGGCAGAGCCCCAAGGGAATTTACCTCTTACCTCTTTTGATGGTTCATCTATAGACCAAGACCTTTCTTTAGAGACCCCTACCAAGTTTCTACGCCCAGCCGTTCTCTCAAATTAGCTGTGACAAAACCCCCGTTTTCCTCCATAAGAATAACATGGGATGGGAATTTAAAGGCCACGGGGGCAGAGCCCCAAGGGAATTTACCATGTTTCTCTTTTGATGGCTAATCTACAGACCAAGACCTTTCTTTGGACACCTCTACCGAGTTTCTACGCCAAGCCGTTCTCTCAAAATAGCTGTGACAAAGAAAAACAGTTTCAAATTAATATATAGACTAGTGTACCTGTTGCTCGAATTCGAGCAATTGCGAAGCATTACAGGCGACTCAAAGATTATGGAAATACTCACGATCTACACAACAGTTAGATATAATCAAAATCGTTTGTAAATATCATATCTTTTTTCAAAAAGCTTATCTTGTTTTTTTAGTGTTTTCTAAAAATTTTCCCTCTCATAGCCACGTTAGGTTGTCCATGACAACGATTATAAATTAAACAAAAATCATTTCTATTTCTTATACTTGGTTGTGTGCTATGGCTTTTTCTATGTTTCCATTGTTTGCAAATCGATTAGTTCAATGATTGCTCAAGAAATGTAGAACAGTGTTAATTCAGTTTTATTTTTAGCCCATATCAAATTGTCCAGGATTCCACGCTCTTTTCCATTGTAATAATTACACCAACCCAAGTTTCGTCTACAGATGCAATATGCCAACGAATATCACCTACGTACAATCTCCAAGAAGTGGTAAAAAAGGCAGAAACCAACCCATGCAATAGATATAGGTTAACTCCAAAAGAAATAATTTTAAGAGTTACTGTGATATTAGGATTTTCCACTGATTTGGTAATAGAACATTATATTGCTAAACATGAAACGATGCAGAAGAAAATCCAATTTAAAATCAGAAAAACCCATTGCAAATACTGTACTTCATTTTGACAAATTCAATAAATCACAATTTAAATATTAACAGCTGTTTCATTAAAAAGTAGTGTAGACTTATGCATATGGTCGTAATGTAAACAAATCTGAAGAGGCAACTTTAAAGGCTTCTGGGGCAGAGCCCCATGGGAATTTTTGATGGCTCATCTACAGACTAAGACCTTTCTTTAGAGACCCCTACCAAGTTTCTAAGCCCAGCCGTTCTCTCAAATTAGCTGTGACAAAAGCCCCGTTTTCCTCCATAAGAATAACATGGGATGGGAATTTAAAGGCCACTGGGGCAGAGCCCCAAGGGAATTCACCATGTTTCTCTTTTGATGGCTCATCTACAGACCAAGACCTTTCTTTAGACACCTCTACCGAGTTTCTACACCCAGCCGTTCTCTCAAAATAGCTATGACAAAGAAAAACAGTTTCAAATTAATAGATTCTATATCCGTTAGTTATCGAGAGTTGAAAAGACACTTTTAACCCGTGTGTGTGAAAAACTCATATTGCTACATTATTTAACAAACTAAGTTAGAAAAAATAGTTTCCAGTTATGAATAAATATAGTTATGCATGCTACACGTGCTTGTATTTATTAATTGACGAGGATAAAAAAACGACATGTTATTATCTTCAATTTATTACATTATATTATTTAATTAACTATTTTAATTGTTCATATCCTCACTAGTCAACTACACAATGGAAATATTACAAAACATTGATTCAATAGCAGATTTAAATAAAGTACGAGCTATTGTAAAAGAGGCCAGATTACAAAGGCAGACAGCCTGTTGCCCTGTTAGAGACGGCTCCAGGAATATTTTTTTTTGGTAGGCCTGACAAGGGTGAAGATGGAGTTTTATCGGGGGACGAGAAGTTTGAGGCAAAAGGGGCGAATATACAATTTTAATGTTTTTATGCTTTCCCTTTAATTACACAAGGCCTACCTAAATGTCTTTATCTATCTATATTACTTATTTAATACGCAAGCAGGATTTTTGTGACAATTACTCCTCCTAAACTACTTCACCGATTGACATGTTTTTGGTGTCATTGGAAAGAGCGTAACATGAAGTTGTGCAGGAAACTTTCTTTTTAGGTAAATAATTAGAGAGTGAGGCCCTGGGGCCCTTTAAAGTTTCGTATTTCTCCATAAGATTAACATGGGAAACAAAGATTGTTTTGAAACTCCAGCTGTTGTCAGAAAATATTAATATGTGTCTCCATGGAAGCTTGAGAAAATTCACAATGTTTACATTTGCTTTGACATTTAAATGTAAACAACCAGAACTGTCAAATGCCTATTTCAGACAGCTGATCCAAAAAAAAATAAAACAACTATGTGGTAGGGTTTATTTAATCTTAAACTTCATGATGGATTATTATAAATCTATTTCAATGATTATGAAACAGGTTATTCCCGTTGCTAAGCAAAAATTAATAATGAGAAGAGGAACATATGTTAATTGTAAACAGTCTATGTGTAAATTTTATTATCTATGTTGTATTAAAAATGTGTATAGTTTTGGATGTTGGTTTGTGTTCAACGATATAAGTTATTAGTTATCGACATTTGTTTTAAGGATTTGGCATATGAGTAAGCCTATGATAGATAACACCATTTCAGAGTTCTGCCAGTTTTTGCCTAACTCTGTCCTATAGAGTTTAAAGTAGCCTACACCTTATTGTCTACAAATTGGCTAAATGACTTAGGTACAGTACTTTATAAAAGCTGACAGCCTTTTATGTTGACATAAATTGTAGGCTTACCTTTTCCCGTCAATGGGCAGTTTTATTGTTAAAAATTAACCCTTTAAACTGGAATAGGACTGTTATGTGAATTGTGAGTATTTCCATTATATAGTTAATAATCTTTTAGTTGACTCTTTTCAAATCATCGGAAATTATGACTGTTATTAGTTTTTAAACAAGTTATTTGTTTATAAAACTCCTGTACTTATTTTCAATTGCTCAATTTCGAGCAACATGTACACTAGTTTATTTATAATTTTCCAAATTTTGGGTAGCCCCGGGCCTACCTGGCCTACCCTCTGGAGCCGCCCCTGTGGTAAATTTAAAAAAAAAACTGTTTTACAAAACAGAATGTATTTATTAGAAAATAAACGGTATCAGTAATCTGACACATACTTTCTCCCATTAGCTCGTCAACAACCGTTATCATGGGTGATGAGAGTAACTAAGATATTTAATAGATAAGATCACAAAAGTTGTATTAACTTTTGAACGGTAATTTTTAACAGGAATGAAGGGATGCACTATTTTGTTTAGAATTATAACAGAAGAGTTTCAATCAAAATCGGTTTTTGTTTCAAAAAATCATTTTTTCCGTTTTTAAATTGGTGTTTTATGAGAAAATAACATAAAGTTACAATAACTTTTGAATTATGATTTTTACAGCAATGGGGGGTTGCACTATGTTGTTTGGAATTATAAGGATTATCAATCACATACTAATTTCAATCTAAACAGGTTTCTTTCAAAAATACGATTTTCTCTTATTTTATGCGGGTTTTTAATGGGAAAATAACATAATTTACAATAACTTTTTAACAGTGAATTTTTACAGAAATGGGAGCTGAACCATTTTGATCAGAGTTTAGAGGGCTACAACATACAAAATGTTTATCAAAATCGTTCGGGCCATTTTTGAGAAAATTCGATTTTCCGTTATTTTATGGAAAAATCCCTATTAAAAATCAAAATTTCTAAAAAAATAAAAAAAATTCCTGGAGATACCATGGACTAGTACCTACATACCGAATTTCGCCAAAATCGGACTGCAGGTGTGGTCTGTAGCTCTGTACACATCCAGACACACACACACACACACAGACATCACTTCGAAAACCACTTTTTTGGGTTCAGGGGGACCCAAAACGGATATATCCATTCAAAACTCAAACTCGAAAATTTTGACGAAAACAATACTTTCTCCATATACTATGTATATAGAGGGAGAAAGTAAAAAATGGAAAAGATTTGAGGCAAAAGTACTATAGATAGAATTCAAGTCAGATGAAGAGAATGTTGATGAAGAATTTAAATACAGAGTTGACATGGGAGAACGATAAAGTAAAAGATCAGTTACAAATTAGAAATACACAAATAGAACCAGAATACCCCCGCTGCAGCAAACCTACCAACTAAGCGAATTCCATTTTTCTGAATTAATTTTTATTTAAATATATTTAAAAACATTAGGTTTGAGTACTTAGGTTAGTACTTTTTGACACAATTATTATACTGATATGCATAATCATTGGTCAAAGCTAGAAAGAAACATATCACATAAACAGACATAAACATTTATTAAAGAAACTCCCTTAGAAATCGTTACTCCATGTTTACTTTTTTCTTCAGTTTACCCGCAATCTATCCATCCTTCACCTTCATCAATCATCATCGTCTTGGGGTGGTGGGGATGTTAAAATTTGCGAAATGCGTGTTGTTATTTCTATAGATTAGCTTATTATCGGTTTTTCGTTTAGTTTAAAGTTGTAGTTGTACCGGTTTAGCAAAATTTTAAAGGAAGCGTTCCTATGATTTACACCATTTGAACAACATTCAGGTAAGCTTTAATATTTATTACTTACAAATAGCCGTCTGATAAGTAGCCTCTGTAGGCTAACCGTACTAATTTGGGTAAACTTGTTAGCAATGGAAGGGTTTTTGAGATGTTCATTCATTCTGGTCTTGAAAATTCGCATGCTGTTTTTTTTATATTAATTTTGCACATAGAACGAGAAATTGAGATAATTATTAAATCACAACGCCTTTAACAATTTATTTTTTTTATTTAGTTTTTGTTATCTGTAGGCCTAAATCTAACCTTAAAAAGCCCTACCTTCTCAACTTCATTTGGCCAAACCTAGTTGCACGAACAGCTTCATTAAACCTAACAAAAGCATGGGCTCATTACAGAAGTATAAAAAAATATTGTCTGTTAATTTGACAATTTCTTTAAAATTATAACGCAAAAACTTGGTTACAATTAAGTTAACTTAACTTATAACTTCAAATTTAGGGTAGGCCTACACTTTCATAGGCTATCTTTTGGCACAAACAACCGAATAAAAAAATCTAATTGGTTAGGTAAGGTTAACCTAACCTAACTAACCAAACGATATATTGAATTAAACAATCAAATAATCAATATTATTCATTCGGTTGTTTGTGTCAACAGATATGGAAGTGTAGGTACCGGTAACTTACCCAAATTTACACCTTTCTTGTACAAGTCCTTTGTAACTAGCCAAAGTAAATGTCGCAATTTAGCCACATGAAAAATTGGCTGGTTATACCGGTACTTAAAAAGCCTATTTTTGGCTTTTAAGTAGGCCTAACTCAAAAATAAGCACAACGTAAGTTGAACTTTTGCCTACTTTATGTAGGCCTAGAGGCCCATGCCAACACCCGTGTTATGTTAAAGTTATCAGGCTTAAAGTGTTAAGATTCATAACCATTGAAACTTTCAATTTGACTTAATGAGCACAATGAAGCTGCAGCTGTTCATTATGTTTGATATAGGCTGTGTTTTGTGACTGTTTGTTAGGTCTGGTAAGTTGGTAAGGCCTAATTTCCTATTTAAGTTATAACTGGGATTGTTTACTAAGCGGTAAAAGCCAGAAGAGCGGGTTTAAGTTAGGCTAACTTACGTTTTATCATTCTTTTTTAAGTTAATTGATAAATGATTTTATAATTTCCTTAGCTAAGTTCAATTAGTTAGGTTCTACTGTTTGCTGATGACATAAAGTTGTTCGCTGAAGTCAACTCTCACTCTGACTGTTAACTAGCCTACTTCAAGAAGCACTCGACAACGTCGTTAGTTGGTGTTTAATGAATGATATGTCAGCAAATCCTGCTAAAACAAAATGTAGGCCTGCCTATAACGTTCAGTAGAAAGAAGAACAACTTGGAAGCTGACTATTTCCTTGACGGGAACAGGGTGGAAAGGTGTGACAACATCAAGGACCTGGGCGTTCTGATTGATGCATCGTTTGATTTTGGACCACACATAAGTCATATGTACCAGGGCGTCACGCATGCTGGGATTGATCTCTAAAACGTCAAGACATGGGTTGAGTGCCAACTCCTCAACGATCCTGTTCAAGGCCTTAGTTCGTCAGCTGCTCGAGTACGCCTCTGTGGTCTGGTCGCCATACCTCCTCGGCCAAATCAACCATCTTGAATCAGTCCAGAGACGCTTCGTGAGACATATGGGTTGCCGCGCTGGGGTCAATTTAATGGACGTCCCAGTTGAGGCAATATCTGCAGCTTATGGTCTCCAAAGCTTGGAGTGTAGAAGAAGAGTTGCTGATGTTGCCTTCCTCATCAAGCTGCTAAACAACCAGATCAGCAGCCCTTTTCTGCTCGAGAGGATCAATCTGCACGATCCCATAAGCACCAGGCATCAACGCTTGTTTGAGCTGGACCATGCTTCGACCAGCTATCTACGCTTCTGCCCCATACCACGTCTGATGCGCTCCGGGAACGAACAAAATATGTTCGTCGGTCGACTTTTTCGCTTAGGTGGCTGTTAGGCGAGTGGCAGCAGAGGAGCGAGTCGAACAATAATAATTTCTTTTTGTTTTTTCTGTTATCGATATATAATGTATATTATCTCAAATCATTAGTATTGTTGTTAATTTAATTATTTAGCCCTATTATTGTTGTTCATTTCTTTTATTACTGTCACGCATTTCATTGTCTATTATTGTTATCAATATCGTTTTTATTATTGTTAATCTAGTCATAAGCACAAATATTCACTGTTGAAGCTGTCAAACTACTGATTATCTTTGTAAATTGGTGTATTGCCGTTGGTAAATAAATAAATTAATTAATTAACTTAGGTATCATAAGCTTAGTTAAATTGAAAATTTTCGCCTTTTTTATCTTGAGAGCTGAGGATCATTTCAGATTTGTGTTAGGCCTACATCAATGAAAAAGTAAACTTATGATAGAAATTCAACATTAGTTTAGTTGGGCCATGTTAGAAACAGAAACACCCTTACCGGTAAACAAAAAGTCTGCAGAACTCAAAATTAAGAAAACATTTCGAACACCCAGGAACTGTTTGACCATAACTCCAGTCTCGTTTCACACTATGCGGTTTTTGCTGTCTGGTAACCCGTAGCCTAGGCCTACTGTTTTATGGAATGTGTAACTTGCACGGTTACCGGTTGTACGGTGTGACCATACGGTGAGACAAATTTGTTTACAATGTCACAATAAACATAAACAGTGTCTAAAACAATGTAACAGGTGATCTATTTGCACTAATTGGTCCGGGCGCTTGTTTGACAAAAACTGTGCAGTGTGAAAGCTTGTATTTTAACTACATACATCACTCACAGCCACGGCGCGACAACCGTTGGCCGCTTAGTGGCAGTGGAAGCTCTTTTTGGTTAGGCTACATATGATTGTTTTTATAAATAATCTCACTGGCACTTAACTGTCATTTAAAATTAAGTAGGTAGCTGATCTGCAACAAAGTCGTCCTTAGGTAAACCAGCTAAACACCATTGTCTATTTCTGTGACAAGAGCTTGTACGTCACCCAGCCACTTGCATACGCTGACTGAAATGAGTCAAGCAGCGGCGGCGTCTTATAGAAGGAGGTGATGCTGCTAACATAGCTTAATAACATTTGAAAAGATCAAAGAATGTTCTTTATTAAAACGTTGGTGAAGTTACCTCTTACCTACTAATATATTTGTTGGATAGCAATATTTCTGTTGCTGACACTGCAGGCATATTTTTGTTGATAACTTTGATCATTCAACAAAATCCATATACCTTAAGTTAAGTGTTAAAATTCTAATATAACCAGAGGGCACACTCTAGTGTTAATTCATCTTTAAGGGGCCTCCTACTAAATGTAGGCTAATTTACGCTCTAAAACAAAATTTCTTGATAGGCTACTGTAGTTTGCTCTAGAATCAAGAATCAAGAAGTTTATTGGCCATTAAATACAATGTACAGGAATACATTAGCGTACAATAGGCTTCGTCAAATAGTTTTAGTACAAAAAATCTTAAGTTTCTAGTCTAAGTCTGAAATGTACATTTAAGGTATTCTTCAATGCTATAAAATGCTTTTTGCTTTAGCCAGTTTGAGATAGTTTCTTTGAATTTTACAAGAGGTAGATTTCTTACAACTAATGGTAACTTGTTAAATAACAAAAATTGCTGGTAACTGTGACTTCTAAATGATTTGTGTAGGCGAATGTAAGGTGTTACAAGATTATGTTTGTTTCTCGTGCTGTGTTCATGTTGATTACATTGTTCACTAAAATTAACTATATTTTCCTTAACATAAACCAGATTACAAAAAATATACATACATGGTAACGTCATTATTTTAAGACTAATAAAACTATCTGTACAATGTTCTTGATTGTTTTCTAAGCCTACTATGCAACGAATGACTTTCTTTTAATTAGATTTAAGTTAGTAAGGTTCTGGGTATGTGGTCAGCTTAGTTAGCCTATTTTGAAGCTAAAATATAAAATGTTTACCGACCATTACACTCTTTTAGGTCTACGATGGATGAATCCTGTGACCGAATACTGAAAGTGAAAAAAACCTGCAATATATCCCCTGGTGTAGTAGATTTGTCAGTTGTAGAGGATGAAAACTACATCAAAGGTGGCATTCTCTCAAGTAAGTGTTATAACTACAGTAGGTACCGTATCTAAAATGCATTTAATTCACCCTTTCACGCATAGTAAATTTGTGAAGTAGGTAACCTATTAAATCCATGTCACCTGCAGTATTGCTTGTTTTACGTGATTCTTAGTTAAATATAGTTTTTTACTCAACGATATATAACTGTAGGCACAGTAAGAGGTGGTTAAGAGAAATCTTAACAATGTATGGAAGTCTGATATGTTTATTTACCTATACATTTCTTTTCTTTTCCAGATAACACACAATGTTGGGTATCATGTGGACCACAGATCACAAACATAAACAGCAATGGATCCAAGAGAACAGGCTGGACCTTTGGCTGGGCTACCGGAGATAAAACTATCAGGGTTGGTTAAATAATATTCTGGTTTAAATTAATTTCTCCATAAGTAGCTGCAGTAAGCTGCACACTTTGCTATCTTACTTTAAGCTGAATTACAATAACAAGGAATAAAGAAATGTTTATTTTTTATGAATGGAGTTACTGTAGTTTACCTGATAAAGTTTGTGAACTTAAACTTCTTTGTGATTTCTTGTCCATCTACTCTCTGTTTAAGAGTCCCTATGACAAAATAGCTCAGTAGCCCATTATTTTTAAGTGTAACTTGTATAGGGAAAAGCCTAATAAAAATCTAGCTCTGTAAAAATCTTAAAAAGAGTCTCTTTACATTGCAACTCATATCTGATGGAGAAAAATTGAAAGCACCAGAATCCAAGGGAGGCGGTGGTCTGAGGAATGGTTTGTTATCGTGGTCCAAATTAAGTGAATGTTGATTTCACAAACATTCAACACTTTTCAGTCCTAAGGTAGGCCTACGCAAGATGCAGCAGCATAATAAAACAGGTACAAAGCACTACGGTAGCCAGAAGGACACTGGAATTTATATTTATGGCGTAGATATCATAGTTGTTACTTTTATGCTTTAAGTCTGAAAGTTACATAACTAATAATTTTAAAATATACAAGGCAAGGAGAATTTCAATGATGTTTCAATGTTTGAAGAGTGGTTTGTGTAGGTACATCATCATTTTATCTATCCGCAGGTGGTGTGTGTGGAGGAGTTGATCGGAAGCTCGACATCTAGTCCTATCTTGGTGGTTGGTTGTGAAAGTGACAATGGTGGCTCCCTATGCTTTTACCACTCAGGTTCCTCACGAATCCTGAAAGTGATCAACTTTCATGATAAGGTTTGTACCAAATAGCTGGTTTTTGTCTGGTAAAATTATAAGATCAAAATACGCCTATGTTTTTCTTCCATCAAAATAGGCCTAACTCTATTTAAAAATGCTATATAAATATTTTAGTTTTGCTTAACAAAATCATATCAATGATTAAGAAGTAAGCATACTACAAAAAACTACACACATTTAGGCTACTCCTATTACAACACTAAGCTAGCACATTTTGTTATTTTTAAGATAACATCAGTAGCTGTGGTCAGCAAGTCCAATGAGTCGCAAGACAATTTGTCTGATCTCCTAGAACCATGGAACGGAGTCGTAGCTGTTGGAACAAATGTCGGGAAAGTCTACTTGGTCGACGTTTGGTGGAAAACGCTTGAAAGATGTATGTTGGTTTGTTTATTTTTACCATCAGTGTTCAATTTTTAACCATCAATTTACGTTAGTAGCTGAGTGATAATAGATTTTGCCTGACACTGAAAAGGTGGCTGGTGTGGCCCTGAGTGAAGTCAGTGTATTTTAAGGTCGAAACTGAGCTCATCTGTCATGAAACATTGGTTTTTTTATATACCGGAAGTAGTCTAAAGAAACAATTGACCATACTGTAGTCAGTAACGAAGCTACACGGATGATCTTACTCTTTCCTTTCATTTATCCTATATACATCTGAAAATATTAACCTAGGGTAGCAAGCTGATCTAGTGGTAGAGTGAAAACCACTCAGGTGGTGAGTGATCATCTATAGAGAAAACCCCTCAATAGATATGTCCTATTTGTTTGCCAAAAGACTGTTTCCTAATTATTATAAAAAAACAGTCATGTGTTTTTAAAATTGTTTTGTCAACAACAAATAATAATTTAGTGTTGTTTGATGTCATGAAAAATAAAGAATATGGTTTGGTTTTCGTTCACCCCAAAGCAGAATGGTTCCTACGTGTCTGCAACGGCCTGTGAAAACCTCAAAATGTGTCAGCAAGCGCTAAAACTAAAAAGCTAAATAATGACTTATATACCGGTATATATATATATTCAGTATATATTCACTCTTTAGGGCTACTAGTAATATAGTTAAATAAAATAAGTAAATTTCAATAACTTGTATAGCCTACTTTTAAAACAAAATACCCCCGCCGCAGCAAACCTGCCGACTAAGCGAATTTCCATTTGTCTGAATTGATTTTCAGTTAAATATATTTTAATAACATTATGTTTAACGAGTACCTAGGTTTGCTGCTACAAGGGAACTAATAAAGTGTGTTTTTGAGTAAAATATTGATAGCTTAGTAGAAAATAAATAAATTTGCCAAGTTTGATCAAAATATATCCATAAACAAGCAAACTACAACATTTGACAATATTCTCCATAAGAATAACATGGGAATTTTAAATTAACAATTTTTTTAATTTTCTCCGTTACTAATAATCGAACAAAAAGACTTTTATATACTAAATTATTTGTTTTTTTAAGCTCTTTAAAAAGGTCTAAAGATAAATCGGGAAATTTTGTGTTCTGAAGGTCAAAAGTGAGAAAAACCAATTTTTACCCCATAAAACCCCCCGTAAAGCCCCGTTCCCATGATCCGATCGTGCTGGTTCGCGAACTCATTCAAGTTTATCCCGCTTTACACCTTTAAACCAAATTTCATCAAAATCGGACAAAAATTACTCAAGTTATCGCGTTCACGGACGTATATATATATATATATATATATAAGTCTATATATATATATATATATATATATATATACATATATAAAAATTTGAACGAATGGTGTTTTTGGCCTCTGGGGACATCAAAATGAAAAAGTAAATCGGTCCCGGGTCTAGGTCTTGCCGTGCCACCTACGGTAATAGCTACTTCCCTATAGGGAAATTCGCTAAAACTAAAAAACTATTAAGGGGTAGGCATAATCAGGTTATTTAAATTTATTTTTTTTTAAATACGTATATATATACACATACCTTAACAAGTGTTAACAAGGTCTTCAAAAGTAAAACTTTAAATGTACTATAGTTTCTTTATATAAACACACTAGGGATGGACGGGATTGAAATTTTAGTTCGGGACGAGATGGGACAGGATTTTTTTCTGTGCATAAAAAAAGTACTGTATTGCAGTTACCAAAAAAGACATACAAAATCAATTTTTACCATTTGTGGGACTGATCTATAAAAACCAAAAAATGTGTAACAATTTACAGGTACCTATAGAAACTTGTGACTCGCGGGTCACGGGGTGATCGTATGTAGAACTCACGGTCACGGCGCGATCGTCGTCATGACTCGCGGTCACGGCGCGATCGTCGGTATGACTCCGCGGTCACGGGGTTATCGTCGGTATGACTCCACGGTCACGGCGCGATCGTCGGTATGACTCCGCGGTCACGGGGTTATCGTCGGTATGACTCCACGGTCACGGCGCGATCGTCGGTATGACTCAACGGTCACGGCGCGATCGTCGGTATGACTCCGCGGTCACGGGGTTATCGTCGGTATGACTCCACGGTCATGGTGCGATCGTCGTCATGACTCGCGGTCACGGCGCGATCGTCGGTATGACTCGCGGTCTCGGCTCGATCGTCAGCATGACTCCGCCATCACGGCATGATCGTCGGTAGGACTCCGCGGTCACGGGGTTATCGTCGGTATGACTCCACGGTCACTGCGCGATCGTCGGTATGACTCCGCGGTCACGGGGTTATCGTCGGTATGACTCCACGGTCATGGTGCGATCGTCGTAATGACTCGCGGTCACGGCGCGATCGTCGGTATGACTCGCGGTCACGGCTCGATCGTCAGCATGACTCCGCCATCACGGCATGATCGTCAGTATGACTCCGCGGTCACGGCGCGATCGTCGGTAGGACTCTGCGGTCACGGCGCGATCGTCGGCAGGACTCCGCGGTCACGTCGTGATCGTCGGTATGACTCGCCATCATGGCATGACCGTCAGTATGACTCCGCGGTAACGGCGCGATCGTCGGTAGGACTCCGCAGTCAAGGCGCGATCGTCGGTATGACTCGCGGTCACGGCGTGATCGTCGGTATGACTCGTGGTCACAGCGTGATCGTTGGTAGGACTTCGCGGTCACGGCGCGATCGTCGTTATGACTCCGCGGTCACGGCGTGACTGTCGGTATGACTCCGCGGTCACAGCCCGATCGTCGTTATGACTCGCGGTCACGGTGCGATCGTCGGTCCAATAATCGCGGCCACGGCGCGATCGTCGTTATGACTCCGTAAATGTGTCCGCAGGCCCGCGTTTCTCGGCGTTTCGTGTCCGCGACAATGTCGCAGCGTCGCTCGTTGTTCTGCTTTGGGGTTCGTTCACATTTATTTTTGTCATTTCTGATATTTTATATTAACTGATCGTCAGTGATATCGAGTTGATCGAATCACGCATATTGATGATTTCAGTCATACCATCTTAATTTAGGCCTACCCAAGGGATGTCCTCCTGTATGTAGCCTACGACCTCACAAACCTCCTTCAGGCTTGTGCCTTCCTGTCTCGTAAGTACATGACTTAACCAACTAATTCTTTTGGCTTCTTCTATAAGCGCTATTATATCAGTCTCTTTATACTTGTATTAGGGCAAGCAGCTCTCTATTTCCCTTATGCGCCACAAACCTTTTTCATAAACTGGGCCGAATATATTTTTAAACACCATCAACCACCCTTCATTTCTTTGAAGAGGATCCATGTTTTACTTCCATACAATCATTACCACTAGCTAAAAATAATCATCTTCAAACTGTTGTGTACGAAGCTAGACTGTTAGCTAGAGCTGTCAGTGGGTTATGGCCAGTACATTTTTGGCTTTATCTGTTCAAGATTTTGCATTAGGCCTATGTATTAAAAAAATGTAATTTTGCAGGCATTGGTGACTTCAGGCACAAAGTCTACGATGAACAAAGGCCAAGTAAGCTTGTTGAAGTTACCATTACAGACTTGGAAAATGACTTTGACTGTAGAACAAGCAGCATTCGACATGGAAGCTCAACACTTGCTCTCTGGCTTAACGGTAAGTAGGCTAGTTTTTGAAATGAAAATGTCAATGGAAAAAAGATCAACCATATCTTAAAAGAGAAAATATCAATTGTTGTGCTTCTTTAAATTGTAATTAAGGCTGGAAAAAAATATCGTACCGTCCTCTAATAAGGTAATTGAAAATATACCAGAAAATATCTTATGAAAAACCTAACCAATATAGTTAACAGTAGTCATGTTCATCTGGGGATACTAAGAAGTATAGGCCTACCTTGATTATAACTGCTGCTACTGTGTTGATATGTAGAAGTGACGTTTGAGCGGAGCAGGATAAATGCTCACCCAGGTCTACACAACATCCTCGGCCGCATGCCTCTAGAATTCCTCTCCGTGTCTGTACTCAAGTACTTCCCCCAGATCTCCACACTGGCCGTCGGCTACAACACCAGCTGCTTCCAACTGTGGGAACTCTCTACCCTTACTCTGCTGTGAGTATACAGAGTGTATTTTTGTTCATATTGTTATTTTAATACTTTTATCAACATTTGTGGGTTTTTGTTAGCTTTGCGAATTTTTGAAATATTTTACACGTTTTTTAATACACTTAGTCCCCAGAATTCCAACTTACTTGGCAGTCCTAAACCGCAATGAATGAGTCATCGGCCGATACTTGTTGAATATTAGAATTTAGTCTTTTGTGACAGGAGTCTTGTATCTTTACAATCGTAGTGTCAGTAAAAACGTTACTGTGCTTGTACTTTGTTTAATTCTTTAACTCTATTTTATTATTTTTTAACCCTTATACTGTTTTTAATATTATGCTCAAAACTTTATTTCAGCACTTTTTTAACCCTGTGACTGTTTTCAACTATTTTATTTAATCAAACTTTTCTATTGTAATTTGCTTTTTACACGTTTATACATAGTAACGACACATCAAAGGTAAAGGTAGTGTGTCACGTATCAAGTAAAGCCAGTAGGCTACACAAGAATGAACGGTACTGTTTCATTTTAACTAGCAGGATGTGGTCATGAACCAGGCATTGCTGCCTTGGTTTTAGGCCTACAAGTCTGTTGCGCACCTGACTCGCCACTGAGCACAGGTTATGTTCCACACCAGACCTAACCTAACCTAGCCAGTCTAGTCTGATATAAGTGTGATGTTGCCAGATACACCTCTGCTCTGTTGGAAGCCATGCTACCAGTGTTCTCCTTCAGTCTGTTAGAGCCCTCGGACGATCCGAGGTACGTTTGTTATCTGTGGTCACTTCACCACTCGGTGGACGAAGACAACATTCCGTTTGGGGGCATGTACATCATCAGTTACCATGAGAAACACCTGAAACCACACAGCAGCCAGTACTTTTATGAAGTGAGTGGAGAGTTTTATCAGTATCAGTTTGCAGTAGATGTTTGTTTTTAGTAGTTTAAAAACAGTTAGTGAATGATGATAAGCCTTTTAGTGAAAAGTTTATTGGGATAGGTGCACCTCTTACTCAAAGTCTCTCAAACTGTTTGGACTTTTTCTCCATTTAGACAAAATCGTAAAATTTCTATCCAACTGCTTGTCTAAGATAATTTAAAATTCTAAATAATCTGGTCTTGAACAGCACCAATTTGTTACCATTACTAGATTATTATTTATGTTTCTTTTTCAGATGGAAAAACCTACTTTACTAGAAAGTATCTTCTGAAAACCATTTTGTCATCTTGGTTTAATAATAATATCCTATTTTCATTTTCTTTTACCACAGGGCTTTGCCTCCTGTTCAATACGCTATCAGCTTGACTTGGGCGCAGATATGACAGATGTTGATATTGCCAGTGGACGAATCATCTCTTGCCAGTCCATTCACAGATCGACATCAAAGTCTTCATCTCTATGGACGAACGCTGAATCAGAAGGTAATACAAAAGTCTGTCAGAGGTTTTGGCTAATTTGTCACTTGCACGTTTAAACATCACAGAATTTGCTTAGTAGTTCATGCAAATAGACAAGGTCTATACAAGTATGCTAAACATTTAACCTTAAATTGAGTGACAACACCTTTCTAGTAAAAAATACTATACCTTATACTATTGTATTGATTTTTGTCTCTTTCAATTACTGTAAGTCCTTAAAGTCTAATTTCCTAAGATAACCTATCCAAACCCCCTATTAAAAAAAATATCAGCAATCAACCATATGGCTTTTTATAAACTTTTTGTTTGTTTACAGAATCTGGTGGAGAGGAGAGTACAGCAAGTCTGTTGTCAATCGCGTGGGAAGTGTGGTCACCCAACCTACTCAGCGTTCACCGCAAGCTGACACTGTTTGACCTGAATCAGTGGTATCGCGAATACATGCCCACGTCATCGGACATGGAATACACACAATTTATGGCCCACTTCTGTCTTCCTGATGGTCAGTTACTAGACGTCAAGGTCATCCCAAGCTCTGTCAAACAGTTCCAAGCACTACAGCCGCTTGATGAACATTTCTACCCTGTAGCCACCTCGTTTGGTGAGTGTTCACAGTAAAAGTATGAACAAGCTGATACTTTTAAGTTTCAATGTTTATCTTATCTATTGATCCGTCTGGTATTATATGTTTTTTACCAAATGTTACAGCTGATGGTGTGTTTGGTAAATAATTGCATTATAATTGTGTATCAAATAAACATTTTTTTATTTATTTGAAATTTCATATAAGTCACTTACGTATTCAAGTAAGTTATTTAGGCCCACCATATTTTGGGTCCCTTGAGCTGGACTAATACTATTGATAGCTTCAAGTATTGGACAACCAAGTGTTCTTAACAAGAAAATTCACTTATTCAGGGCATCCATTGTATAAAAAATAGCTTATTTTAGCTTGGTTTTTGTCTCATCTTCCCTATGATCAGCCGTTATTGAGTGATAGTGTTTGAAAGTTTGCATTGAAGCCAATCCCAAAGAGCTTCGCTTTGCTCCGCTCTATAAACCAGTTGTGTTTTCTAAAATATTCATCTAAGTATATTCTTTTTGAAAAATATTTTTGTTCATTGCACATTTTTTGCTATTGAAACATTCATCTTGTAAACTCTGCTTATCAAAATATTCTGACGTGTTGTTTTCCTCAGGTTCTATTGTAAATTGAAAGACTGCAGTATTGATTGTTGTGTAGATTGCCTGGTGTTGCATCAGAGTCAGGTGATGGTATGTAGCCACGTTGGTGTACAGCAGCAGGCCTTGGAGTCACTGACGGCGGCCGGTCCTAGTGGTCTACTGCTGCCTGCCTGCCTTTACAAGCAGTGCACCCAAGCCGGCCTCAGACCTCTGCTGGTCGACATAGGCAGTCCTACCAAACTACAGAGTGTGAGTTGGACAAATGTATACCTACATTATGTTAAGTATTAATTACAGTTAATTTTTTTTTAATTTAGACTACTGAAATTTTTCAAAAAGGTTTTGAGTAGGCCATTTAATAGAGTTTTAATTTGTTAGTCAAGCAGATATTTATATTTGGAAAAAAAACTTCAAACAGTTAGGGTAATACCTAGTTGTTTGGGTTACCATAAATTGGGTACGAATATTCTCAATGTTGATGCACTAATGATATTTCCAGTATATTACAGTTCGGCCAAAGTTTCTGTGTGTGCGGCTAGAACTGGTCGGGCCTTGGTAATAATGTTGGCGGGGATACTTTTGTGAAAAAATTTGTGTCTTGCTACTCAGGGTGACTCACTCACCCTACCCCTAGGTCTGCCAATAACCGGCACCCGTATGTTTTAGCGTGGCTAGTATAAACCCGTCCAGGCACACAGAATCATTGGCCAGACTGTACTATTCTTTTTCAGAAGTCTTGTAATTCTTGGCATGTTTAGGTTTTTTTCTCGTAAGGGTGTATGCAGGCTATACTCAATGCTTGGTTGTTTGTGTTGCAGAGTGACCAGAGAGCGTACCTGTTGTGTGTGGCGTTGGAGCATGAGTTGACACAGTACTTGCGACAGTGCGTCGCACACTGGGCGGACGGCAGTCACGCAGTCGCAGGCTGTACATTGCCCAGTTTGTTAGGCTGGGCTTGGGATCGGGTGCAGCGATACAAGAAGTGGCTCGATAGGCTTTGTGAGTATGAAGCGCTGGCATTGATGCTTTTGATAAAATTTTGTATGTAAAAAGTTATTGAGACATCAATTGTTTTTTTAGCAAACCTGAACCACTACTTAGCCACAAAGGTAAACATTGTTTTCTTAGAGTGATGATCATATAATAACTAGGTCTGCAAAACAAGAAAACTAAATTCTATGTATAAGCACTAAGCAGCATTATAAAAAATATTATTAATAAATGTAATAAAAAATTCCAAGGCGTTAAAACACACAAAGCTTAAAAATACATTCTACTGGTTACAGGTGTACCCCTGTTCGACTACTCAGGCACTGCATTGGATACCAATGATTTAGGCATCTTCCATCACATGATCTGTCAGTTCCACAGACTTAGAGACCTGTTCGGCTTGGTCCTAGAGAAATACAGCAATTGTATCATCAAAGGTTAGTGTAACAAATAGCAACCTAAAGGAAATAAAAACATATTTGTTTGGATTAACCTGTCTCTTAAAATACATACTGGGAAACCCTGGACACTGTGATTTTATTACTTGCTCAACTTATATTGCTTTACGATTGGAAAATTCATAGTCAGAGTAGACTTGGCGATTAGAGCACATACTTTTATTTCATGAGCATTGTAGGCTAGTATCTTGTGTCGCACGATTCTGGTGAATCCATAGACACTTTGAGTAGTCTAAGCTAAAACCAGTAGTGTTTTTCATGATATCGCTTTTTTCACAGTATTGTTTTTTAATAAAAGGTTTTTATGGTTCCAGGAAACTTTGAGCAACAGTACACCGTCATCAACTTGGTTTCAGCTTTTTATGACTCGATTTTCTGGTGCATTCAGAATAAGGTGCTTCCTGAAGTCAATGCTAATGAATCCAGCATCAATGGCTGTATTCCTTACTTTACTGATAAAATCATCAACGCTACTATTACAAGGTGAGTCTTTGTCAACAAAAAAGAGCCATAAAAATTATTCTTAAACTAAATTATGATCAATCAGCCAAAGAGGAACACTTTGTAAATCTTAAAATCCTTACAGTTTATGGACAATACATCTATGACTGAATACTAATTTATAAAAATGAGGCAGTAAGTTCTAAATCGCCCATTTGCCACAAGTATAAGACATAAAAATGAAATAATCCCAACTCATCATAGATTACAGTTTTACGGAAAAAACAACATATTCGGGAAAGAAATTCTTTATGTATACCAAAAAAGATAAATTCTGAAAATATATTGAGAAATGTATTAGAAATGAATTTATAAATTTATATATTTATTTATTTATTTATGAATTTATATATTGAGAAATGTTAGCTTAGGTGTAATTGATTGACACTATATGTATCTATGTGCATGTAATACATAAAGAAGTTTTGATTTAATTTGATTATATTATGACTTTTATTTTAATTGTTAATTTTAGGTTTATGTTAAACTCAGTAGTCCAAATCAGGAGAGAGAAGGAAAAATGGAACTTGACAATATATTTATATGCCAGTTTAGAATTAGGCCTAGCCTAATTTTATTAGGGATGGACGGGATTGAATTTTTAGTTCGGGACGGGACGGGACGGGATTTTTATTTCCTTCCCGATTTTCGGGACGGGACGGGACGGGATTTTTTCTGTGCATAAAAAGAAAGTACTGTATTGCAGTTACCAAAAAAGACATACGAAATCAATTTTTACCATTTGTGGCACTGATCTATAAAAACCAAAAAATGGGTAACAATTTACAGGTACCTATAGAAACTTGTGACTCGCGGGTCACGGGGTGATCGTCTGTATGACTCACGGTCACGGCACGATCGTCGTCATGACTCGCGGTCACGGTGCGATCGTCGGTATGACTTCGCGGTCACGGGGTTATCGTCGGTATGACTCCACGGTCACGGCGCGATCGTCGTCATGACTCGCGGTCACGGCGCGATCGTCGGTATGACTCGCGGTCACGGCGCGATCGTCGGTATGACTCCGCGGTCACGGAGTTATCGTCGGTATGACTCCACGGTCACGGCGCGATCGTCGTCATGACTCGCGGTCACGGCACGATCGTCGGTATGACTCGCGGTCACGGCGCGATCGTCGGTATGACTCCGCGGTCACGGAGTTATGGTCGGTATGACTCCACGGTCACGGCACGATCGTCGACATGACTCGGGGTCACGGCGTGATCGTCGTCATGACTCGCGGTCACGGCGTGATCGTCGTCATGACTCGCGGTCACGGCGCGATCGTCGTCATGACTCGCGGTCACGGGGTTATTGTCAGTATGACTCCACGGTCACGGCGCGACCGTCGTCATGACTCGCGGTCACGGCGCAATCGTCAGTATGACTCCACGGTCACGGCGCGATCGTCGTCATGACTCGCGGTCACGGGGTTATTGTCAGTATGACTCCACGGTCACGGCGCGATCGTCGTCATGACTCGCGGTCACGGCACGATCGTCGGTATGACTCCACGGTCACGGCGCGATCGTCGTCATGACTCGCGGTCACGGCACGATCGTCGGTATGACTTCGCGGTCACGGGGTTATCGTCGGTATGACTCCACGGTCAGGGCGTGATCGTCGTCATGACTCGCGGTCACGGCACGATCGTCGGTATGACTCGCGGTCACGGCGTGATCGTCGTCATGACTCGCGGTCAAGGCGCGATGGTCGTCATGACTCGCGGTCACGGGGTTATTGTCAGTATGACTCCACGGTCACGGCGCGATCGTCGTCATGACTCGCGGTCACGGGGTTATTGTCAGTATGACTCCACGGTCACGGCGCGATCGTCGTCATGACTCGCGGTCACGGGGTTATCGTCGGTATGACTCCACGGTCACGGCGCGATCGTCGTCATGACTCGCGGTCACGGCACGATCGTCGGTATGACTCGCGGTCACGGCGCGATCGTCGGTATGACTCCGCGGTCACGGAGTTATCGTCGTTTTGACTCCACGGTCACGGCACGATCGTCGTCATGACTCGCGGTCACGGCGTGATCGTCGTCATGACTCGCGGTCACGGCGCGATCGTCGTCATGACTCGCGGTCACGGGGTCATTGTCAGTATGACTCCACGGTCACGGCGCGATCGTCGTCATGACTCGTGGTCACGGCACGATCGTCGTCATGACTCGCGGTCACGGCGTGATCGTCGTCATGATTTGCGGTCACGGCGCGATCGTCGTCATGACTCGCGGTCACGGCGCAATCGTCAGTATGACTCGCGGTCACGGCGCGGTCGTCGCTAGGACTCCGCGGTCACGGCGTAATCGTCGAAATGACTTCGTCTCCTGCGTTCGCGGACCTATCGCTCGCAATAACGGCGTTATCGGCACTCGCGAAGCGGAAAAATCGCCGACGATCGGACCAAATCCCGTCCCGAAAAATTCCCGAGTAAAATGTAATCCCGTCCCGATAATCGGGAATATTTTTTTCCCGAAAAATTCCCGAAATTTCGGGACCCGTCCATCCCTAAATTTTATGTATACCAAAAAAGATAAATTCTGAAAATATATTGAGAAATGTATTAGAAATGAATTTATAAATTTATATATTTATTTATTTATGAATTTATATATTGAGAAATGTTAGCTTAGGTGTAATTGATTGACACTATATGTATCAATGTGCACATGTGCTGGGCATAAAGAACTTTTGATTTGATTTGATTATGACTTTTATTTTAATTGTTAATTTTAGGTATATGTTAAACTCAGTAGTCCAAATCAGGAGAGAGAAGGAAAAAAGGAACTTGACAATATATTTATATGCCAGTTTAGAATTAGGCCTAGCCTACTTGTATAAAGAATGTATTGTATCTATTATATGTCAAAATGTTTTATTTAAAGAGCTGCACTAAGTGTAATTCATAAGAAATCAATCTTTTGCAAATTGAAATTGTCTATTCATCTCATGAGATATTTATTGCATACAGATAGTGAGTGAGAGATTCGCCTTTATTTAAAACCTGACCTTAAGTAGGGTCTAAACCAAAACACAAAGCACTGGGAAATAAGCACTCCATTGTCTTATTTTTTCAGGATTCGATTAACTTTGGTATTTCTTTAATCTTTGGGATAGAAATAAAACGATGGGGGAAGAAGATGATGGTTTCTCCGCGAATAATGTTAAATTTATATAAAAAATGTGTAGGAGGAAATAACCAATATTTTGAAATCACTCAAAATCCATAGGCACCAAGTTACAAGAATTGTTAATTCTTTGACACCACCAGTGTTGAAGGTTTTTATGATTCAAGAACCAAACTTGTCAATCGTAACCACTGCATAGTTACTACACAATTTGTTCACTTGTATTACTAGAAACTAAATTAACATCATCACTTGATAGACATGTGCTTGATGTACAGACGAGCAGAGCTCCATCAGCTGGCCAAGGCTTTGCAAGATCCGTCCCCCGCCGGACTGCTGCTGATTGACGCAGTGATTGCCCAGGAGGCGGGGGCTAAGGTCACTGATCAGTGGGAGAGGGAGGGGAGCTCCGCCACTCTGGGCAAGTATCCGCCAGCCTCCGTACAGAGTCTGCTGCGCACGTACCTCATACGCAACGTGTCCTCCGACGTCAAACACTTCATCGTCACCTACTTCTTGCTGGACATCGCTCACGTTGTCTGCTCCCTAGGGTAGGTCTATGTGGTGAACCCCAACAAACAACATAACTTATCAATTCCACGTTCACCGTGCAGAATATGTCTTTTATTAGACATGCCACGAATATTATCTCTTTGTTCCATGTAGGTTGCGTCAAATATCCTTGCAACTCTCGTGAAAGTGCTAAAAAGAACGTTTGACTTATTTCTGTACCTGCTTTTTGTTAAGACCGATTGGTACTTTGACTTTAAAATTTAGATTTTGTCTCTGATGTAGTCAAAAGTAATTTAAAAAGTAAAGGAGTGTTTTAAGGGTTCTGGTACTACATGGTGAGTTAAGATTAGAGTAGACTGATTTGTGTTCCAAATGCATTCTACACACAAGTAAACTGAAACAGAGGACAATTAATTGAACTGTAGTGAAAACCGTATTAGCGTAGCTGACCCACTCCATGTTTAAATCTATGTGAACTGTTTTAAACACATTGATTTTCTTTTCTTTATTTTGCTTTTTTAATAAATTTTGGTTGTTTAAACTTAATTATAGTACTCTGTGACAGCTTTAGATGTGCAAAAATAATGTGGTGGTGTCTCTATTTATTGCTCTCAGACTATACAAAAAAAGAAGAAGATTTTTAGGGTCTTACCTGAATTCAAGGAACAGTCCATCCCACATTATAGATTAATATTTCAACTAACAACAATTGTAGGAAAATTATGTATGTATGTTATAGGGCCAGTGAATCCATAAGACACAACTTGCTGAAATTCCCAACTGACTTTGGGCTAACCGAGAGTCAAAGCAAGATAGTGGAAGCCTTCTGGTATCTTGACCACAAGCAATATAAGGTTAGACAAGTTTCACATTTGATCTCAATCATATACACTTATTGTTGATTTATTTGAGTAATTTTAGTCTAAGTGTTAAGGGACCTTTTAAGTTGGTTGATATCCACAAAAAACTTCTAGACTGTTAAATTGTCAATTTATTTGATCAAAACAAAGTAGAATAAAGGTGAGGAGATTAATTAATAATGAGATAATTGGCTTTGGATTTAATGAAAATAACTACAATAGAGTCACGATTTTAATTACTCCCAACAACATTACGATACTGATGTAGGCCTACTGTAAGTTTTTAACCAAGCTAAAAATCTTTTAGCGACCATTCAAAAGAATTTCTTTTTGCGCCCATTAAGAATTGATAAATGTTTAAATTTAGTTAAATATTTTAATTTGATTGCCATTATTATGTTACAGTCAGGTGTGGACCTGCTGCTAGACAGTTGTGTGTACAAGGAAGATCTGCAGGTGTACCAACATCGCACAGTGTTGTGTCTGTTGGCAGCAGTGGGAGAATATAAACTGGCTCTACATTACTTCACCACACGCAGACGGACGCCCACCGAGCCCCAGGACATCAGGTTACAACACAGTTACTTTACAAATGCACAGTGACATAACAACTTAGGTTGTAAAGGATTGTAAAGCTGGCTTTATACAGCTTCAAAATTAGTACCTATTGTTTTTACAGATAATTATATTTTGTCTGATAGAATTTGAATTTGGCCCTAATGGTGCATTTTTTTTAATTGCTCCCAAGTGAGCTGCTTCAAATTTGTTTCCCTAACCTAAACACAAATTAATTCCTACTAGGGGCCACATAAAGGTTCTTTTAGTATTTTACTCTTTCCTATCCTTTATTTATTTGCGTTAAATGTTAAAACTGCAATTGATCAGACTTTAAAATATGTTCCCAGAATGGAAATGACACTACTCTTGGTCAACGACCTTATTCATGAGGCGTTCCAATTCCAAAGGCATCACCAATCAATGTCGGCTGAGTTGCTGGACCAATTTTTCAAAGGTATGAATTTAAAATGCTTGATTCTGTTTTGTGGCAAATGTGTTGTTTGTATTTAATTTGTGTTTATTTAACCTCACATATATAACTAGTGAAATGTTTTATAAGTGTTTACAAGATACTTTACTAATGAAGAAATAACATACGCTTTTAAGAAAAAAGTGATCCAAATCTTCTATGGATAGGCCATGGAAGAAACACATCCCTCTTGCTCCAAAGTTCAAGACACTATACAGTTTGCTAGCAACATACCAACTTATTACAAGTTTCATCAAACTATGCAATTTTTAACTACACTGATAGTTAGCACCTCTAGGGATGACAAAGTATGCTACTGTTTTTATTTGGTACAGAATAAAAACAAATTAATGTGTTGTACACACCTACATGACTGCACTATCGATGTCACAACGAATGAATCTTTGAAGTGGGATGTTTTATATAGTTGCCTCCTTCAATTCTGCAACTTAAAGTTTTATTTTTTAAAGTTTGTAGATACTTTTCTGATAGTTTCCATTACACATTACAGGCTGTGTGAAAATGAACAAGCTGAATGTCATATTCAAGTTGGCACTGACCCCTTCTGAAGAAGAGGCCTTTATGACCTTCTTGCAAAAAACATCCCATCCAAAGGCAGATGACTTGCGAGTATTCTATTTGTTATCGAGGTCAAGGTGAGTTATTTTATGGTTTTCATGACTTTTTCTTATTATTTTCAAAAGTTTTTTTTTTTATAACATAGATTTACAAGATAGCTATCCAAAATTTATTTTTTTTACAGAACCTGCAGTCCAAACTATTTTACTATGGTTCAGAAACAAGTAGTAGGCTATTTACAGTTTTTCATTTTTTCCTAATTTAATACCTGCCGGTAATACATAAAAAAAGGCAAACGGAAAATCTGTTAATCTAGAGATAATACTATGCAAAAATACAAACCAATTTTTAACTAAAACAACTTGAATCAATGATTTTTTCCTTTGGTTACTTGAAAAAACATGCCCCTATATATTTCAAATATGAGCAAATGGAATTAGCATAAGTTGATAAAAGACCTTTAACTGCTTATTGTAGCTAATTTTGATATATTTTTTATGTTAATTAATGTAAATATTTCAATTTATTTTAGTAATTTAAATTTAACTAGTGGTCGTCCTGTGGTCGAAACTCGACCAAAAATAATTAATGTACAGACTTCTCTATTTTCTCCCCACACTGTAAATAAAACATGTGATTGGGATTTCTTCCATTTGTTTTGATTTTCTGTTTACATGTTGTTGTTATTTCGTCACCATCATGGCAACGCAGTTGGTCCATGTTAATTTTTTGAAGTTTTCAAATTAGTTTTTTGTGCTTATTTTTTAGCCTATTTTAATTTATAAAGGGATTCTGCACATCTACAGGCAAATATCTTTCTAACAGTATGCGTAGATTTCCCCTGCGATGCACACAAGCTGAGAAAAAAGGTTTTAAAGAAACATGCTTGCCTATTAATATATAGATAGATTGGTTCACTCTAGCTATTTATTTAGGTTATTTTTATTCCTAAACTAATTAAAGTTATTTCTATACTGATCAACATACTTTATAGAACTGTTAGAATTCGATAATTTTAGCAATTTTTGTTGTGTCTTACATTGACTCTGAGGTTTACTGACATTGGTCATTGGTCGTTGTCAAAAGCTAAGATGTATCTTCATCAAACCCATTTTTTTACCTGCTCAACAAATATTTATAAATAAAAATATCAAGTTGTAAAACTTTATCTGGCTCAAGTGAGTTCTTTACTAAAATATTCCCATCCACGTTTGTCCAGGTATGTGGAAGCTATAGATGTGAATGAGAAGCTGCACAGTGCTCTCGGTGTACGGCGGGGCATGGGGCTATCTCCTGCTCCTGCTGCCCGCAAGACTTTTGGTACACGGGGCAACAGCGGGGGGCCTACAACAAAAACTGTGACCACTAGAGACATGATTATCAACTCCGTGACTAAGGGTCTTCCCTCCATCACGCGTGACTTGGCTGACTACTGTCATAGAGAGAAGCACTGCTCATGGACACGCAGTAAGTTTACGTGTGCAAAGCAGCAAAGATTTTTCAATTCGATACAACGATTTGATTAAAAAAGTTTGATTTGAATCTATGTCTTTCGATTTGAAACATTATCTATATATATAAAGCTCAAATACCACTTACTTACTCATCACGAAATCTCAGAAACCATAAGACCTAGGAACCTGAAACTTGGCAGGCATCTTCCTTTTGGGTAGAAGTAGATGCTCACTAAGAAAGGATTTTACCCCCCGACCTCTGGGCTCCGCCCCAGTGGCTCTGGAGTTTCCCATGTTAACCTTATGAGTACTCATATTTAAATGGAATTAATGAATCTTAACAGCTGTTTCAATAAAACAAGTTGGTTCTGTTCTATGATGTTCAATAGCATTAAAGTTACAAGGATTACCAACAGGGTGCAACACTATTATTACTTTTACATTTATGACAACAGCTAATTTGCAACCTAAAAGTGAGTGAGCGTAGCGAACGAACTTCAACCAAAAAGTGAGTGAGCGTAGCGAACAAACTTCAACCAAAAAGTGAGTGAGCGTAGCGAACAAACTTCAACCAGGACGTCAGGTCATGATTGAGCCATGCGAACGAGATCATCTTGAAAATTAGGAAGTTAAACGGGGCAAAGCCCGCGGGTTACAGCTAGTTAATTATATAGGTGAAAATAATTATTTTCAATCAAGTGGTAGAAAAGTCTGTATAACTGGAAATTTCAGTTAAACTTAATTGCTTGTCTATTTCATAATTTGTATGTGCAGCATCTTATTGTCAAGCATCACCTAGGGCCTTTATTATGTTATTGATTTTACAACTAAAGATACGTTTCGGTGTGAACAAATAAAAACCTTCATAAAATTTACCAACCTTTCAATTGGTTCACACCATTAGAATAAACTTACTAACTACAAGATAACTCTTTATTGACACAGTTCAGGTAAGTTCACTTGAAAAGTTTTGGACAAGCTGCAAGAGTTGTTTTTAAATTGTTTTGTATGGGAAGTCATCTTGAGACTTTGGTGTGTTTAAAGGTGACAGGTTAGATTTACTTGTAGATTATGACCAATTTATGCTCACCGAGAAAGGAATAAGAGGAGCAGTTATTTCCCAAGTAGTAACAGCGAAGTAAAAAAAAAAACTGAAAAAGCAATACGACCAAATTGTAAACATCTCATGTAGGGTTCACGGAACTATCAAGAAGATATCCCTCAATTGCGGAGGCAACATTGTCACCATACTGGCAAGATTTTCCATGGTCGCTAATATATGTCATCATCGTCACACGCCCTAACATAAATATAAAACATACAAAAACATAACATAACTGAACATTGTTGTATTCATTCCTTTTTTTCCAATAAATTCTAAAATTTCAGGACCTGTTTATTCATATTATTTATTCTGATAGCCCCTGGACTACGAATAATGACTTATATAGGCTTACCTCCGTCAGTAGTCCAAAATTGTGTCTTTTTCAACTAATGTTGTTCAAAGCTTACATGTTTCGTTGCACTGCAACATCGTCAGAGCTTTTTGTCAAAAACATCAAATGATTTACACATAAAACAAAACACGGAACACGAAACATTTAAACACGTAATAACACGATAGCGCTATCGACACGGCACGGCAGCGGTTGTAGGTAGACTGGACACGGGTTAAGTAACTTCGTCCCGTCCTTCTCTGTTATCATCTCGGTGGTCAGCTGTTCCAGATGAGATAACGGTGTTGAAGAGGGAGTGGGACTTGAATTGTAGTTTATCATTGAGGATGTATTCCTTGTGTTCTTCGTTTACGTTCATTTTATATATCTCATACTCCTCAAGTGTGTCCAACTTATTACCTTTCCCGCAAAAATGTAGAACTTCCAAGCCGTTCTTAATATCACTCATTGAGTGATTACAATCTACAAGATGTTGAGCAAACGCAGATTTTTGTTTATGGTGTTTAGGATCTGGTCGGTGTTCTTTATATCGTGTTTGAAAGGCACGACCTGTTTGTCCTATGTATTTGCTAGGACAATCCGGACAAGATATCCTATACACGCCGGTCTTATCTACTTTGTCACCTATCTCAACTTTATTTGCCAACACGTTCCTGGTACGGTTTGTGGTTCTGAAGGCTAGTTCAATGCCTTGTTTAGCGAGTTCTTTCTTTAATGTGTGTTGGATAGTGTGACTATATTCCACGCAGACATATTTTTTCTTCTCTGAGCTGTCAATCTTCACACCTTGTTTGTTTTTATGTTTTTTGATGAGCCTATCTACCAAACCGCTTTTATAACCATTGACTGTAGCTATATGTTTTATAATTTTGTATTCAATCTCATAATTTACTGCATTTAACGGAACTGTTAACATCCTATGGACCAATGAATTAAATGCTGACATTTTTTGAGAATATGGGTGGTATGAAGTATTGTGGATAGTTTGTGCAGAAGTAGTTGGTTTCCTGTAGATGCTATAATCGAAACTGTCAACATTCTTCCTTATGGTTAAATCTAAAAAATGTATGCAGTTCGATTCTTCTGTTTCAAGTGTGAATTCTAATTTTGGTTCTATTTGATTTAAATATTTGAGGAGGAGGTTTAATTGTCTCTTGTTGCCATCAAACAATACAATGGTGTCATCCACATATCTATAGTACATGAGTATTTTATCTTTATATTTGTTTTTATCTGAAAATATGTTATTATTTTCAACGTGATTCAAGTAGATATCAGATAAGATACTTGATAGTGGCGATCCCATAGCAAGGCCGTCGTTCTGTAAATAATATTTACCATTAAAAGTAAAATAGTTTTGACGGAGTACTTCAGTTAATAGTTGTAACATTTCATTTATTGCTTCAGGTAGTAAGTTTGAATGTTTATTTAGGTTGTCATGAACGATGTCCAATGTGGTTTTCAATGGGACATTGGTATAGAGGTTTACAATGTCAAATGAGGCAAGAGATTGGTGCATTTTTGCACCAATCTCTTGCCTCATTTGACATTGTATAAATAATAACATATTTTCAGATAAAAACAAATATAAAGATAAAATACTCATGTACTATAGATATGTGGATGACACCATTGTATTGTTTGATGGCAACAAGAGACAATTAAACCTCCTCCTCAAATATTTAAATCAAATAGCACCAAAATTAGAATTCACACTTGAAACAGAAGAATCGAACTGCATACATTTTTTAGATTTAACCATAAGGAAGAATGTTGACAGTTTCGATTATAGCATCTACAGGAAACCAACTACTTCTGCACAAACTATCCACAATACTTCATACCACCCATATTCTCAAAAAATGTCAGCATTTAATTCATTGGTCCATAGGATGTTAACAGTTCCGTTAAATGCAGTAAATTATGAGATTGAATACAAAATTATAAAACATATAGCTACAGTCAATGGTTATAAAAGCGGTTTGGTAGATAGGCTCATCAAAAAACATAAAAACAAACAAGGTGTGAAGATTGACAGCTCAGAGAAGAAAAAATATGTCTGCGTGGAATATAGTCACACTATCCAACACGCATTAAAGAAAGAACTCGCTAAACAAGGCATTGAACTAGCCTTCAGAACCACAAACCGTACCAGGAACGTGTTGGCAAATAAAGTTGAGATAGGTGACAAAGTAGATAAGACCGGCGTGTATAGGATATCTTGTCCGGATTGTCCTAGCAAATACATAGGACAAACAGGTCGTGCCTTTCAAACACGATATAAAGAACACCGACCAGATCCTAAACACCATAAACAAAAATCTGCGTTTGCTCAACATCTTGTAGATTGTAATCACTCAATGAGTGATATTAAGAACGGCTTGGAAGTTCTACATTTTTGCGGGAAAGGTAATAAGTTGGACACACTTGAGGAGTATGAGATATATAAAATGAACGTAAACGAAGAACACAAGGAATACATCCTCAATGATAAACTACAATTCAAGTCCCACTCCCTCTTCAACACCGTTATCTCATCTGGAACAGCTGACCACCGAGATGATAACAGAGAAGGACGGGACGAAGTTACTTAACCCGTGTCCAGTCTACCTACAACCGCTGCCGTGCCGTGTCGATAGCGCTATCGTGTTATTACGTGTTTAAATGTTTCGTGTTCCGTGTTTTGTTTTATGTGTAAATCATTTGATGTTTTTGACAAAAAGCTCTGACGATGTTGCAGTGCAACGAAACATGTAAGCTTTGAACAACATTAGTTGAAAAAGACACAATTTTGGACTACTGACGGAGGTAAGCCTATATAAGTCACCTGTTTATTCATAGTAATTTTTTTAACTGCCTTCATTTAATGCTTTTATGGTTATCTGATACAGAATATCCTCTATGTTTTGACCATGGTGTTTTCCTCCTTCCAACAGATAATTGAGGTTACATACAGTTTTAATTGCAATACTAGTTCTCTTAACATTGGGTATAAAATGATTAATTGTTTTTTATGTTGCTATTTAACACCTTTAACTCCATACAGTTGCACTTGTATTTTAGTTAAATGTGAACAGTAGGTAATATTGTGATTGTAAATTCTCCTTTGTTCCAGTTAACAGACCCAAGCCACTGTCAATGGACGTCACTACAGAGCTGTCCAAAGATCGGCTGCCACAATACAAGACGTCAGAGTCGCAGCTGTTAAAAGCGGCTGTGCTCAAAACCAGGGAGATTTGGGCCCCTCTGCTCGCCACCCCTGCGGCACTCAAACGTAAACTACAGACTGTCATTGAAGAGACTCCTTTCCTCCGCAACCCCATCCACTCTAGGCTCAACTGTAGTGTTGTTAAGTAGGTTTCTGCCTTTGTCTATGTAATTAAATATTGTGAATCTACTGCTTTGGTTTCATTTAGCTTAGGGTTGGTCGTGGAAAGTGTTTCAATTGTACATACGGAATTGTACGTCTTATTTAATAGATTGTTAAAATTATATTTTTTTAATCTGAATTTCAAAGAGTTGTCTTGAATTTGTCTAAAGGTTATTTTTTATTAGAACTCAGTAACTTACTGCAGAAGGTCAGTAATAGGTGCTTGGCGATCTGAGATGTGGGGACACCTGTTTGTTGGTATGACTTGTATTTTAACATTAAATCACAATATAGATAATTACACCAACCAGTAGGCAAGGCTCAGGTAACAAGCAGTTGATATTTTTTTAATATTCATTTTTTACACTGTCCAAATTTTGAAAATTGTTGCTGAGTTTGATCAATTGTTCTCTAAGGACCGAAACTCTCAGTAACACTCAAGAAAGACCAGTGCTAAGGTATTTAAACCATTTGATGTTTTTAAAGGTACCCAAAGTATATCTAAGATGAATAAAGGCTCTATATTCCATTCACTAAGATAACTTAAACTCAATTGAAAGAAACTGGGTGACTGGCACCGTGATAAGGGTAGTTTACTTGAAGCGGTTAACCAAACTACTCATGTTGAGGCTTATGAGATTGACAAAACCAGAGTAATAATTAACTAAGTGTACAATGCAGTTGTCTGCTAGCATATTAATCTAATACTTTTCCAAAGTCAAAGCTTCATCTGTTTATTGTAAATGTGATCTCTTCTTGTAAAATCCAAAGTCAATGGTATATTTGGTTAACATAAATGGAATGACTATTTGGAGTATCTGAATTCAATGGTGCATTAGCCTAATTCCAGCGACCCTATTTGGTTATTCATTTTGCACTAATTTATGCTCAACAATATTAATCTTGTTCTTATTCTTCTTCCCTTTTGTTCTGTATTTATAATGTGCTAGGTTATATTCAATTCATTAACTAGCATATGTTAAGAATCTTTTGTTTACCTTTTTATTATTATTATCTTGCAAATAATGCCATGGCGACAAAAAACCCCATAAGGCCCATGTTCAATTTCTTAAATTCAAATTCACATAGAGAAAATCCCTTTAGTCCAATTTCAATTTGTACCATTTTAGATTTATACTTTCCCATAGTTGGCTACTGTGAGAGTGCTAAATTTAATGCGGATCGCTTTAGCAGCAAAAGCAGTAGTAGTATAAGAGCTTCGCTTACTCCGCTCAAAAATAAAAGTTTAGGTTACTTACCTGCAATAATGAATACAATGATGGTCTTAATTAAGTACGGTAGGTACAGTAATCTTATAAAGAAATTAATTTTTTTAAACAATAATACTGTAGTTTACCAATTTTCTTCTTCTAAAAATGTTATTAATTTGTGTAGTCTGTGGTATTAGTTCAATTATTATAGGCTACTTGTTTTTGTATCGTGTAAATGTCTCCGTTTGTATATAGTATGTGTCCGTGTTTTTTTTATTTAAACTTTTGATAACTTTTTTGAAACAACAGCTTTATTAATGTTCTTGTGCAAGATCTGAAGATAAGGACTTAACCTCAAAACGTGTCATCCATAAGGATCATACATTATCACTCTGGCTGTACTCAGGTAATTTGATACCTTTTATAATAAGGAAGTTACTACACTGTAATCAGAAAGTTGCCGATACAACCCTGAGATTCTCAGTAGTCATGGTTTGAAACTGACCCGGCTGTTCTTGACCATTAAGCTTTTGACATTTTGGTCTTGGGTAAAGAAGAAGACAATCTCAGTCTGTAACGAAGCTATCATCTCACCCAGTCAACTCTCATCCTTCACTCATCTTTCCCTTGAATTACCTACACATCCTAATTTGTCGGCGTCACACCAATTTAAACGATTTTAAAATTTTCAGCATTGAAGAAGTTCGCTCTGGAGTTAGAAGCAGAACTGACGATGAAGATTCTATTGTTCCTAAACGAGCTCGTCTAGAATTTTCACCATCAGGAAGAGAAATTACTCAAACTGAAACCAATTTGGACAAAACCTCAGACATGGATATCACTTGCCCTGTAAGCAGCGAAGTTTTGCATACTCCTTTGGTTGCTAGAATAGTGAAAAAAACACTCAAGGAAATCCACACTCCACAGTCAATACTAAAGGTGAGTTTTTAGGTCAGTGACCTTTTTTCTTTTCTCTATGAAAGCAATGTAAAAATCCATTCAGAATACAACCAACTTTTTATCACAATTTTGAAAGCATTCTAAATTGTCTAGACACCCATGTTCTCATCTCAGGAAACATAATTGAAATCGAAACCTATTTGAAATTCTATTAAATGGGGTTTAAGTTAATTATATTTTTAAGTCTATGCCATTTGGAGATCACATTATAAGGAAAAATTAACTCTTCCAGAGCCTTTTTTTTATTACATTTGAGTTTTTAACTTATAGTGTAAATATCACTCATTTAAAAGGTAACTTCTGTAGAAAACTACAATCGTAAGTTAACTTCTCATTTCAAGGCCAGAAAAAGTAGTCAAAACTTTCTATAAATAAATGTGAAATACCATGTTTTAATTACAGGGAAGATCAGGGCCTAACACACCACTGACGCCTGCAAAAGAAAGACTCGGTTCTCCAGCTGTAGGCCGGCAAATCAGGTTCAGCTTGCCTCCAGAAGATTCCCAATCAAGTATCCAAAGGTAAATCCATCAGCAATATCCTAATTTGTCATTTTCAGTTCATTCACACTGTTCCTCTAACTCATAATGTTTCTTGTCGTTCACTATTATTTCTTTGTACAGTGAGGAAGAAATGAACAGTGATGAAGGAGAATGTTTGAAAACAACTGTGTCACCTCGCAAGTCTATCCATGAAACATCAGATTTGCACAACAGATTGCCCACCCCTTCCAACCCCAGACTTTTACAGAAACTACTCTCGCATTCCAAGAGGTTTGTTCTGGTTAATCTATATGTCATTATCTAAATAAAACCCAACATATAGACGATAACAGTAGAACGCTAACTATTCGGACAAGTAGAGACAAAATCCAAACCGTATAATGGTAGAAGCTCCCACATTTTAAGTGTCAGCCAAGCTTTTCCCTTAACCTCTTTATCCAATTGTTTAATCATTATTTTGACATGATAGTAGGAAATTATGTCAGAGTCTAGTCATGTTATTATGTCTAGAGTCCAATTTATTTCTGTTTTGATTATGTGATAAGATTTTTTAATTACCTGTATGTTTTTGTAACCTTAACCATTTAATATAAAACGTTTTGGGTTTCAATGTTCTGGATTAGATTTTTTAAGTATTGGTTTTGTATTTCTAAACTTGCTTTGTATCCCAATAGTGATTTGTGTTAAAATAATTCAAGTTATGTACATCTGCGCCATTTTAATATTCAAATATGTATTCCTTTATTTTACAGAAGTTCTGTAACCCGCCTTCAGTTTGATGAACCAGAAGAAACTCACAACGAAGGACGACCTGAACTTAGTTCGACAGCAGTTGCTCTTTTAAAGAAAATATCATCTAGTTCACAGTCTACTGAAGAAGACTATTTCAGCTTTCAGAGTTCTTCTCCGGAAGTCCAAAGTAATAAGAGTGCCAATGAATCAAAGTTTAAAATAAACTATGGATTGGAGGGAAACATAGAAAGTCAAAATTATGAAAATGTTGAACAAGATCAAACGTACAGAGAAGATTATGATGAAGAAGAGCTTGATATTTATTTTGGGTCTGATGAGATCCAAAAAGAAGCTAATGCCGATTTGGAAACAACAATAACTGACTTTGAGGCTGAATCTGCTGAAAGAAAGTCATTAGGTCATCAAAATCAAGCGTCAGAGTCAATGCACTTAACTTTAGAATACAAAGGAGATATTAGTAGTTCTGTACAAATAGATAGTAAGCATCTGCGAGATACTAGTAGTTTTGTAAACATAGATAGTAAGCATCTGCGAGATACTAGTAGTTCTGTACACATAGATAGTGAACATCTGCCACCACCTACTCATGGTGATGTAACATTTGAACTGAAGGAACAGCATGACATTGAGGAGAACGAGATTGATGAGACTGAGATGATGAGATTTAGGAGACATGTTGAAGAACTGGTGTGTAGTGAGCAAGAAATTGGAACAGACCCTATAGAAGAAAAGACTGAGGAGAAACTTGTTCTAAACGATACAAAGCAATCTTTGAACGAAAGAGATTCTATTGTAATGGATTTGGGTAACAAACAAGTAGTTGAAGCAGAAGTACTGCCAGAGTCTGCCCAGTCATCAGACGCTCACATTATATCTGATGAGGTAGAAACAAATGCCGAAACAGAAATAATAGATGAACCAATTCCAACTCAATCATTACGTGGAAGAAGAGAGAGTGTTGAACAAGAAATTAACGTCAGTAGTGCTACATTAAATACAACAATGAATACCAAGTTAGTTGAACAAGATACCATTGAAGTAGTAAGTGAGAAGAAGATGGAAGACTTAACTTTACCAGTAGAGTCAGTTCACAAGGAACTGATACACAATGTTTCATTAAGTTCTCAACAGGACTTTGTGTTTACTCAAAAAGAGAAAGAAATTTGTGATTTAGGAAACACAGAAGACATAACTTCAAGATCAGTAAGAGGCACAACTCCTTTGCCACAAATTTTAGAAGAGCTGGTGAAAAAAGGAAGAATATCACTTAGTGTGCCTGAAAGCGAAAGTATAGATGAATCAAATCTTACACCCGAACAACATTCATTGACAGAAGCTGTTACGAACACAATTTGTAATCCACTTGAGGAGCCTGTAATTGAGAAAGATCTAAGAAATGAGGGAATATTTGATGACAAGCCCCAAGAAGAAATTGAAGCTGATTGTAAGTCAAGCCAATCCGATGAAAATATAAATATTTCAGAACCTGAAAAAGAAATTGTTTCTAAAGAAGAAGAATCGTTTCTTAGTTTTCCCACCAAAGGCTCATTGAAGCAAATGTTTGTTTTTGGGAACGAGGCAAGTCTATCTACGTCAGCTGTAAATAGCAACCTTACATTTACAATCGGAACAAATGTATTTGGCAGTTCTACTTGGGAAGATCCGACATGTAAAACTGACTCATCAGATTCATCTACCAAGGATGAACCTGAAGCAAAAAATGAAGAGGAAATTCCTGTTGAGCCTCAAATTAGTTCAACATCCGATAATCAAAATAAATCAAGTAACGATCCTTGTCAATTTAACATCTTAGAAACACACTCTCTTACAACAGAAGTTTTTAATGATGAACCAAGCAGTGAAAAGCCTAGTGAGGATATTCAAAATGCTGATACTTCAGAAATTTCACAACGGCTGCCCCCTGATGTGGCTGACAATGATCAGATCTTAGATTTCTATATTGATACAAGCAGTACCAAAGCTGTACCAGCTGCTGAGTTGGAGGCAGACTTAGCAGCAGATTTCGAACTGAAAATGTCAGAGGGTGATGTATCAGTGATGGAAGTTTCAAGTTGTGAAAAGATTGACGAAGAAACACCAGAAGAAGCAGAGAAAGAGCCTGTCTTTGAAACATTAAAACCAGTTGAATACCAATTTGACGGGGAAGAATCTGTAGAGGAAGACAACTGTTATGATCAGTTCACTGAGAAAGAAGGTAAGATTTTTTTTTTATTAAATAAGTAATAGTATAAAAAAATATGTTTTAAGGATAAAGCATTTAGCTTGGATTAAAAAAATATATAAGGATGGAGAGGACACAGCTAACTCACCTGATGAAAGGTTGCAGAGGAGTCAAAGAACACATTAAATATATATACACACACACACACAATACTTGATATTTCGCCTCTTTCAGAGTATTCTGTTCTGATCTATATTTTGTAAGTAAGGGAGTATATATTTTGATCAGCTGAATTCTTTTTTTGAAAGAAACAACTTTTTAAGTGTTTCACAATTTGGATTTAGAAAGGGCAAGTGTACATCAAACGCAATAGATAAATTGATTAATGAGGTACTAATGGTCTTTGAGAGGAAGTCACTTGCTCAGGCCACTTTCTGCGACCTGAGTAGGGCTTCGATTGTGTCGAACATGATGACCTAATAATGAAATTAAGTTTTTATGGTATCAACAGATCTCCACTTTCTTTTTTCAAATCATACTTAAACAATAGAATACAAAAAGTCAATATTGATGAAGAATGGTCCCAAGAATTAAAAATAAAATATGGCGTGCCTCAGGGATCTGTTCTAGGTCCTCTGTTATTTTTAATTTGTATTAACGACCTCCCAGAATGTATAAACCAGTAAAACTTATTTGTATGCAGATGATACAACCTTTTTAAATATTAATCCCGATCTTAAACAACTTCAAGAGTTAGCTCAAAACTCAATCAATGAAGCTTCTATTTGGTTTGAATCTAATGGCTTCCTCTTAAACAAAGATAAAACTCAAAAAATTGTTTTTAGCCTTAGACCCTGTGAATATGTTGGACGGTTATGTAGACAATGTTAAATTTCTTGGTGTTTATCTAGATAAGAAGCTTTCTTGGGTAGATCATATAGATTACATAATTTCTAAGCTTTCAAGGGTAATTTGTCTTATAACTAAACTAATACATTGTATAGATCAAAATTATATTAAAACAGCCTACTTTGCTTATTTCCAATCCATTTTCAGATACAATATTATCTTTTACGGAAATTGCAGTAGGATAGAGGAAATTTTAGTCTTACAAATGAAGTTAGTTAGAATCATATCTTGTGAACCCCTACAGGAACACTGCAAACCCCTGTTCATTCAGCTACAAATTCCAACAGTAATTAACATTTATATATTTGACTCTTTATCATATATTTTAAAAAATTCCGACCCTATCAAACAAAATTCTCATGTTCATAATACAAGAAATAAAAACGTTGCTACCATAGATTTTTTTAGACTGTCTAAAACTCTTAAAAGTCATATTGTAATCTCACTAAAAATATACAACAAACTAATACATTTAATAACAAAATATCCTAAACAAACTTTTAAATCTAAATTCTACAAATGGCTTTTGAACAACCCTTTTCATTCTCTAAAAGATTTTTTTGAAATGCCTTTTTATTAATTTTTAAGTAGAGCTAGCAAATTTACCAAATTACTGTTGGATTTAGTTGGTTATGGGGTTCAATAACTTCCATTATTCCAAACGCCTTGCACTTTTCTTTACAATAAGATTATTTGGTTGTAATATTAAAGTATGTATTGTAACATGTCTCCTTGTGTGTAGTATTCTTGTAAATATTGTATATTGTATTAATTAACTGACTATGCTAGTTTTAGCAGTTTTAGGACATTGTCAATAATTTGTATAAATTCACAAGACAATAAACACATACACATTTCATTCATTTCATTTCAATGGTATGAATAAAATTTTAAAATCCAAAATACCCTATTTGATTTAGCTAATGTATCCAATGTCACCCTTTCGGGTATTTGTTTTTAAAACTGTTTGAATGAATCCACAATCAATCCAATCTATGAAATTTAGTTTTAAAATAGGTATATTTAGGCCTACTACTTATTTCGTTGGTACATCCCCCGGTTATTTTAAGAACTATTGTTTAGAGAATAATTATTCATTGAACTTTGATCAAACTCAAATTAAAAAAAGTTGTTGATGTGCTCTTGGATGTTTTTGTATAAATTATTCATGTTTTTTAAAGTTAGCATTAAAATTCAGTATTTTACCAAAACTTCTGTTAAAAGTGCTGCTTTGGTGTGGAATTGCCTGTTAGTGCTTTTGCTTTTTTACATTATTCTACTTAGATAAGATATAAAGTGTTAATTATCCTATTTAACCTTGTTTTAGATGTGGATGAAGATATTTATGGAGATCTTGAAGAGGTAGGTGATGATGGAGCAGGGACTACAGCATGCCAGACCGTACACCAAGAGGTAGACCACAAGGAGGAAAAAGAAGTCATCTTCCTTGGATCTAGTTCAGATGAAGAAGAACCAATGAAAAAATTCACCAAATCATCCACACCATATAGATGTCAACCTACTCCGAAGGTTATTAATTTTACATTTAAAACATTTATTTTAAATTAGCTAATAGTCCACCTATGCAAATTTCTTGAATGGGATTGAATAACAATTTTGCATTATCCTTGTGTGACGGACCTCACAATAATAAAAATGTCAATACAGAATTTCTGTAAAATTCACAAAGTAATATATGATTTATATGAATCAATAAAAACAAAACAGTTTAATTTAATACACACAGAATTTAAGATAAAGATGAATTAATATGACCAATTAATTTCTGTTAGTAAGATTACTTTTCCTTTTTCAGACTGTGAAGCAGCATTCAAAACTCTACAATGAAACACTTGACTATGAGGTTGAGGAGGAGGTAGAAGAAGAGGAGGAGGAGGATGATGTAGATGAAGAATATGAAGAGGATTACAGTGACCAGGAGCAACCAAATGAATCTTATTCCAGTGAATCCTCCATTGACGATCATAATGAAGAATCAGAAAATGAAATGGACTCTAAAATTGAAAAGAAAAATCTATATTTTTCAAGCGAAAGTGAGTCAGATACAAGTCATAACAGAAGATCATGGAAGCAACAAAGAAATCAGTACGGTAGTAATGAAAGTTTGAGAAAAGAAAATATCACAACAGATGAAGACACAGTAGAGTCACCTCCGTTTGAAATAATAGGCCAAGATAGTCAAGAATGTCACACAGAAAATTTAAAATCTGTCTGTGAAGAAAATAAGGAAGAGTCTTTGAAAATTGAAGCTACTGTTGAAACCCCTACTTTACTTGAAGAACATTCAACAGAAGCAGCTGAGGTCATTGAAAATAACAAACTAGAACCTACTTTGGATTCAATACACTCTATAACGTCTAAAGAAAGTGATTCTCATGAAGGTGAAACCCCTGAGGTTGAAATGGATATCGATATCATTAAATTGGCTCAAGAAAATCGTCAAAAACGTTTGGAAACAGGCAGTATTCCTGATCTTAGAAACAGAAGAAGTAGAAGGTACAGCTCCCTAACAAATCTCAAAGAAAGTAAACGGTTGAAACTCAGAAGGAAATCTTGTTCTCAACACGATTTAGAATCTCTTATTATCCAGGAGACTAAATCTACATCTTGGTTATCACCTGAAAAAGAAGTTTCTACTGCCAATGTTAGTCAAATTTCACCAACAAACACTGCTACAACCACCAATGAACTTCAAGATGATAGCGTTGTTAAGACCATGCTTCCTCCATTGACAACACAACCGAACATTATGTCTGAAATTGAATCCTGTGAAACAAACAGCGTAACTAGTTCTTTGTTACCTGAGCGTGGAAGTATAGTTTCAAACCAAACATTTGGCCATGAATTTCCAAAGCTTCCAGAAAATTTCAAGAGAAAAAGCAAACCTTTAGTCAGCAGATTAAGTTCCTTGCATGACATATCTGAAGAGAACTCTGAGATTTCTGAGAGTGTTATGTGCCCTCCACAGGATCAGGATCAGTCTACCAGAAGATCCTTAAGAAGATCAGTGTCATCAGACCAGCTGACCGCTCCCACACAAACGGATGTTTCTCAAATCAGAAGATCAAATTCAGTTTGCATGTGGTATGAATATGCCAAAGCTCATCAATCAGAAATAACTTCAGATGATAAAATAACTGGTGATGGAAGTTCATTAGAAGATCCAGGTAACAAATCAGTATGGCCAGTGGGAAATCAAAAGAAGAAATATGCAACAAGAAAATCAAAAAAGAAGGAATCAACTCATACCAGCCTTGATTTGCTGACGGAAATTGATGATGAGGAAAAAGAAACAGTTGAAGGGACCAAAGAGAGTACTGTACAACTAGAAGAAAATAAAGAAGCTCTGTCTGGCAGTGTTACTTCCGAAGGAAATGTTTGCAGTGTTGAACCTAATATTGGTGCCAATGAGATTGCAGATGATGCTGTTCAATGTTCTGACAATAGTCGTTGGCTAAGGGCCCAGTCTGAGCCTTCATCATTAGTTCGACCTTCAACAGGAAGGCGCTCCAGGAGAAGTTCTTCGTCTATGAAAATAAATGAATATCATAAAAAAGTACTGCCTAGAAGTTCTTTAAAAGGAAAGTCCTTTGGGCCTCAAGAGTTTGAAATTATAGATTCAGATGTGGAATCGCCCAGAATTACATCAACTTTCCAGGGAAAAAGTCCTGTTCAAGAAAGTATCTCAAACACAAAAGATCAAAGTAGTACATTAGAAAGTAACTTCGAGAATGTTCAAGTTGAAGTTTCAAAAGAAACTATTGAACCTTTAGTTACTATTGAACCTAATATGACTCTGACGCCAGAACATAACGAACGATTGAAGAGAGGTCATTCAGAACCACCTGCGAGTGCAATAAATCCGCCTAAAACTAGATCAAGAGCTCGAAGAAGTTCTTTTTCATACAAAATTGAAAAAGTTCATAGAATGATTCTTCCTAGACATTCTAGAAATTCAAGGTCGAGTTTATTCCAACCCATGGAAATAGTGCAATCTGATGAAGAGAACTCTTTTCAAAAAACTCCAGTTCGCAATGAACAAGAATTTGAATCTGAGCATGAAGTTGATCACAAAATTAATGAAACCCCTGTAACATCCAAGAAACAAAAAACACTACCCAAAAATGTTAGCGAAAGTAACAAAATAGATCCAGAAAAACCCCAAGATTATCCTCAACCACCAAAAAAGAGAGGGAGGTCCAAGAACAAACCTACTGAGGTAGAAGTATCAGAGTTGGGAGAAAAAGTAATTAATGTCAACCAGACAACAGAAAACTTACCAGCCCAAGAGGTCTCAGATTTCCCCAAATCACAGGCCAAAAAACAAAATCTGAAGAGCAAGACAAAAGTTGGTAATGACACAGAAACTACCAGTGCTGTCGAACATAGAAATGAAACATCTAGTGAAAATTCTAATGTTGGTGTAACTAAAACAAGTATACCCAAAAAAAGGAAAAATGCTGGTGCTAACAAAGATCCTATTGACGATGTCACAAAAAGTACTGCAGAACACAAAACTGACAAAACGGAAAAAGTTAAGTCGAAGAAGAAAAAAATTAGTGATGAACAGGAAACCCCCAAAAAGACAACAAAAAGTAAAATCAAAGAAATTGTGACACCTTCCAAAGAACAGTCTGACAGTGAAAATGCAGAATCTTCACTGACTGAGAGTCAAGCAGATGAAATGAAGGTAAGCAAACCTAATAAAATACATAAAGTAGTAGACCTGTCCATCTTGGATAGCCCTGCGAGGAGAACTCGACGCAGCATGTCTCGAATGTCTGAAACCGAGATCACTCCAACCAAAGACAAGCTGCCAAAAAGAACAAGACGTAGCAGCATCAAGTCTGATGTAGTCTTATCAACGCCAAACAAGTACGCTGCATCAGAAATGAGCGATGCAAGCACTGAACTCAATCTACAACTCAACACGCCCAGTAAACCCACGCCTGGTCGGAGGTCAAGCAGACGGGCAGAGTCTGAGATGAGTGACGCGAGCACCGAGCTCAATGTTCAGATCAGTACACCGATTAGAAGGTCAATCAGACGACCATCCATCTCGGCTTCAACTAGCACAGTAAGTTTCAATCATTTTGCAAATATTTAGACCCAAACATTGTCTTAGATTTTTGTACAATTAGATTGTTTTCAGGCTACTAAATGAAGATTTTTCAAGTAAAAGCAGGCTCACCTTTGTACAGGAACTGCTTTCAATACATAAATAGACTCATTACTAACTGAGATATATCAAGTTAACACTACAAGACTTGTAATGTCAATGACTTTGGGTACTAAAGTAGACGTCCAATCTATATGGACTGTGTGTAGTCTGTTAAATCCTAAAAATATAATTAGATACATTAAAAATATTAATTCCACTTTTTCAAAAATGACAGATTACTATAAATCATCTTATGGAACACCCTAAGTATATTTCTTGACCTTTTCAGAATGTGATGCAATTTTATGACTTATCTATCCTATTTACTCTTAGCATTTCTTCTCCAAACTTACTTGTTTAGGAGCTTCTGGATGCACAATGTACACTGTAAGCCGCTTTTTCCCAAGGTATAATATGCTGTACTCCTCAACGAGTAGCTTTAGAAAACAAATCTGAAGAATAAAAATGTTTTAAAATTGTATTTTGTATTTACATTCTAAAACAATCATAAAATAATAGGTGTTCCATTCAACATTTTAAAGTTAGCTGCCATTTGTGAAAATGGCGGACATAAAAAAGTCTACTTCATAATTTTAATGTCATAAGGAAATAGTTGAAGTAATGTTTTCTCTAAATTTAATAGTTTCGGAAATACCAATGGGGGCACAGTTAAGTTGTTCACCCTGTTAGGGATAAACTAGTAAACTGTCGTAATTGGTCGCCTGCTTCAGAAACTGACATTTAGAGAAAACGTTGAATTGGGAAGGAAACCATTCATATAGTCTATTCGGTGCCAAAAATATACTGGTTAAAACTGTTGAATGATTACAATATGGTTAACAAATTCTGTTTGTGACATACATTTTTCTGTTTTTAGCCGGAACTCATTCCAGAAGAGCTTTTAATGCAACGAAGACTGACCAGGCATCAACATGCCCAACTGCAGAAAAGTTTTGAACTATCTTTTGCGGAATCCCCGTAAGTTATCCCAATTATATAGTAAAATTTTATGCTTGAATGAAATTTTATTGATTTACTTAACAAAATTATAATTTTACGATAATGAATTTGGAAAAACAAGAGAATGATTTGTGTTGTTATTGTTGCGGGCTTAACGGGTTCTTTACAATAAAAACTTGGCGATTTTATAATAACTATTTATTTACACTAATTATTATCTATTTACAAATATTACAATTACCCAACACCTAACTAACCCTATCTAAACCTAGCTAATGCCTATTCTAATTTACAACGGTTCTACTTACAGCTAGCCTCTACAGGATTTATCACTACTTCTGTTACAACACTGTCACTACACTGTCACTAGTGTCACTACACTGTATCTACACCGCCACTACACTGTCACTGCCACTAGCACTAGCACTGGTCACTAACACCGACGGGCGCTTGCCGCGACGATTCTCGGAAGGCTCAACTCAACTCAACTGCCGTGTGCCGGAAGACGGTCCCTTATATAAGTTTGCCGTGGAACATTCTGGAGACCTCTGGTAGCCTAGACAAAGGTGTTTACGCCGTAGAAGTGTAGAAGGTTCTAGGGCCCCTATTGAGATAGTCCGTTGACATGGGTCTATTGTCTATCAGTGGTGCGCTAGGAGAAACCCGTGTAAACAAACAACCCTTTTGAGACGGCGCCTGGCTATTGTTGCGCGGGGCTCCTGACTTGTAACACTACCCCCTCCTTAAGACTGTTCTGTCCCAGAACAGATTTCCCCTGAAGCTTGCGATCTTCTGGTCCACCGGAGGTTCCCCATGGGTTGTATACGCAGACCACAATGTCGATGCCAGTGTCCTCGAAAAGTTCCTGCACCATATTTCTTACAGTCTTCCATTCCAGTCCGTCGTAACCACATCCCAGTCTTGGAATGGCAAGCTTTTTGATTCCAATCCAAAGAAGCTTGTCTCGCAGGTCTTGCAGGCTTTTCTTCAACGATTCGTAGGAGGGCTTCTGGCTTGACGCTTCCTTCGTAACGAGGTAGAACAAATGCTGTCCATTGCGATTCAGGTAAAGGGTGGTGCCAATGGCAGGTCTCTGACGCTCAAGATCTTCAGTCCCTCCAAACTTTTTCCTGAAGACTGTGGCTATACCTCGCGACGCTCTCAGGTCTTCTGCTACGCAGTGTGCCAAGGCATATTCCACTGGCAAGGTGAAGATGTCCTTGTATAACAGCCTCGGTCCTTCGTTTCCACGTCTCTCAGGCACGATGTCTCTTGAGAGGTTCCGCTCGGTTGACAGATTCCGAACTTGTTGCTCCTCTTGTTTGCCGCGGTCTCCGTTGTAGGGTGCAAGCCTGTTGAAATGGACTAATATGGGTTTGCCGTCTGGTTGCCTCTTAATCCGGTAGATGACGTCATTTAGACGGGAAATAACTGCATAAGGTCCTTCCCACGAGTTCTGGAGTTTTGGCGAATATCCACGACGCCTTCGGGGATTGTGTAGCCACACGAGGTCTCCAGGTGTGAACCCTCCTTTCTCGGCCTTCACGTCGTACCTCTCCCTCATCCTGTCACTTCCTCCAGATATGTTGCGACGAACTTTCTCGTCCATCATCTTCCCGTTCTCTGACAAGGGAGCCACATCCTGCCACGATGATCTTCCTTTATTGCCCATCTTCCACTGCATAATGTGCCTTAGGTCTGGGTCCCCCTTCCGGTCCTCTAAAAGCTTCTTCTCGTCCTTTTCGTCGTTAATGACGATCACACGACGAACCGATGCACTGTAGTCTTCCTTGCGCGCACAATGATTGCCACTGTCTCTACATTGTCTTCTGAAGAGTGCATCCGCCTTCTTTTGGCCCGGCCCAGTGCGATGAGTTGACTCGAAGTCATACTCCTGCTTCGATCCTGGAGGGATTGATTGAGGCTTAGTCCGGGGACGCCCCATCTCTCCGCAGTTCCAACAGCGTGCCTGCCGGTGACGATTTTTGAGTGCCTCCAGAACTCTCTCTACTAGGTCCTCGATGTCCAGTGGAGTTGTAGGTTCTGCGTCTGCCACACGGACTCGAGCCTGACCTCTCACCGACTGCCGTACAGCCTCGAACTCCAGCGCCTGTGTCAGTGCGTCACTCCGTGTCTTTGGTCTGGCGAGCTTCACTGCCTGTTGAGTCTCGGGTTCACGTAGTCCGTCTAGGAAATTATCCACTGCCATGCTCTCGTAGACATCATCCGTGACTGAAGGATAGGCGTTTCTCACCAGGCGAGCAATGTCGGCTTCAAACTCCTGGAGTGACTCGCTGGGCTTTTGGATCCGGTTCCGCAGTTGTGATCGGTAGAGCTGGTCCATATGTCGATGTCCAAAGCGCATGTCCAATCTCCTTACTAATTCTGCGAAGTTCTTCCGCTCCGCCATTGGCATAGCATGCAGAACAGCTAATGCATCGCCCCGTAGTGCAAGACACAGTGTCGAAGCTTTTGTCTCCTCGGTCCACCCATGGACCATAGCCGCTGTCTCGAATAGAAGCATGTAGTCCTCCCAGGGAGTCTTGCCATCGAAGTGAGGAACGACGTTCTGAGGGGCAACGGCAGCAATGGTGGGCGCTGGCTTGGAGATCGTTTCAAGGGCGTTACCCTGCTGAAGTTCGCCAGTGCTAGCCGATGACGCAGGTGTGAAGCTCCCCGATGCAGCCATCTCCTGCCGAAGCTTATCAACTAACCTATCTTCTAGATTCTTTTCTATACAGTTAACTTTCTCATCGATTTCATTCATTCTACTTTCTAAACTATCAACTTTGCTAGAATACTCATCTAATTTGTTCAGCATTTTTGATTCTACATTCGACATTTTTGTCTCAATGTTAGCTTCTAGGTTTTCTAACGCTTTACTAGTTTCTGACATTTTTGACTCAATGCTAGCTTCTAAGTTTTTGTTATTTTCGGAGATTTTTGCCTCAATATTAGCTTCTAGGTTTTCTAAAGTTTTACTAGTTTCTGACATTTTTGACTCTAATGTTTTACTATTTTCTGACATTTTTGACTCTAGGTTTTTTAGCATTTTATTGATATCAGATGTTTCAAATAAAAAGTTATCTGGGTCTTCACCTGCATCAATTAAAGCTTGTTTAAGGCGTGCCTGAAGGGCTGATTTAGTTCCACTAGTATCAAGATCTCGTTCTTCTAATTCTCTCCTAAGATCTTAACTCATCAAGTTTCACACCTTTGAAAGCCATTTTTATACCAAACAATTAAAATAATTTTAAAATAAATGATTTTTTCCTTTGTAAACAAATTTACGACACAAATTACTAATATGTAACTAAGACCTCGAATCTTACTAATATCTAATACAACTAAAATTAGACTCAAGATTTTACAATTAAAATCGCCAAAATAACCCCACACCTGACACCAATTGTTGCGGGCTTAACGGGTTCTTTACAATACAAACTTGGCGATTTTATAATAACTATGTATTTACACTAATTATTATCTATTTACAAATATTACAATTACCTAACACCTAACTAACCCTATCTAAACCTAGCTAATGCCTATTCTAATTTACAACGGTTCTACTTACAGCTAGCCTCTACAGGATTTATCACTACTTCTGTTACAACACTGTCACTACACTGTCACTAGTGTCACTACACTGTATCTACACCGCCACTACACTGTCACTGCCACTAGCACTAGCACTGGTCACTAACACCGACGGGCGCTTGCCGCGACGATTCTCGGAAGGCTCAACTCAACTCAACTGCCGTGTGCCGGAAGACGGTCCCTTATATAAGTTTGCCGTGGAACATTCTGGAGACCTCTGGTAGCCTAGACAAAGGTGTTTACGCCGTAGAAGTGTAGAAGGTTCTAGGGCCCCTATTGAGATAGTCCGTTGACATGGGTCTATTGTCTATCAGTGGTGCGCTAGGAGAAACCCGTGTAAACAAACAACCCTTTTGAGACGGCGCCTGGCTATTGTTGCGCGGGGCTCCTGACTTGTAACATTATGTATGCCACAACTCAAACCCAAGAAGGTGTTAAGCTTCGGCAACCGGTTTCTGGCATCCTTCTTGCTATGATCACAGGATTTCGCTACTTGGTTGCCTGGACTTAATTCACTTGCGCTTAATTAATTTAGTATCTCACTTGTGACCACTGTCACATTCAGGCTTCAGAAGCACTAGTCCCATTGGCATTGGCTGACAGTGTGATGGCTGAATTGTATGACGAGTGTAGCTCAACATGCTCAGGTTCAATTCCCGTTCAAGCAATCCATATTAAGTTTACTTTTTCTTAGCCAATGAAGGGTCTACTTTAAATTAACAGTGGTTGTCAATGTCTTGAGTGGAAGTCGGCGGCATTAGTGAGCTAGATAAGGTTTGCACACTGCTTCATTTTACATTGATGCAGTATAGAGGAGGAGAACTCAATTTATTTTGTATTTGAGTTGAATATAAAAATATCTATATAACTGTAAAACCAAAAATTACTGTAAAGAAATCATTAAAATCTTCACATCCAATGGTCAATGTAGTGTTTGCCTCCTTCTGTTTACTAGGACCAACAAAAACAGACTTTTGCTTTTGATTCTGAAAAAAATACCCTAGTCTTGATAAAAGACTCCTTATTTTCTATTGGTGCAAATTTTTCAAATTTCTAGGTTCTTAACTGATCCAAAAATATAACACAGTATTTTGTTTTCAAATACTAGGCCTATTAGTTTGTTTCTGATTTTTTTAAATTCAGGTTGTAGATATGTCACATACTAAAAGTCACGGTCTGCTAGTGTATGTACATACACACTCGCTACCTGCTATTCAGTAAAATACTTAATGCTCAGCCACAGACTAGTATTACACTCGCAGCTGACATGGTTAGGTTTGAGAGGACTCTAGGTTTTGCTATAGTGAAAGTGGAACCAATCGCCTCAGAACCAAGTTTAATAGATCTGGCTGAAAAAACTATATAGGATTTTAAATATTTTAATACAAACATGTTTTTTCTTGCTATCCCTCCATTGTCACCTTCCTTTCCATACTTTTATGATGAGTATCAATTTTGATGTAGCCTTCATAACTCTTACCATCTCTCTAATGTGCTTTCATACTTTTAGTTTTCAAGTTTTAACCTTTCATAATTTTTTCCAGTAAACTGTCCAGGCTCGAAGAAGTTCCTGAAGAGAGTGTTGAAGATGGTGATGTGAAACTTACGCCAATCCGATCTTCAAAACGAACCAAAGCCTCCACCTCTAAAGGTTCTAAGATCAAATCTTCTAAAAAGTAACCATTACCATTAAGTAGGATTTAGCTATTCCATGAAAAATATGTGCGTAAGTTCCCTAGAAACATCTCATGACTTAAATTATTATTGTTGGACTGTATAGGGTAAGCAGGATAATGTATTTAAAAAATGTAAGAAAGTGTATATTTTCATTAAGTTATGTAATCATTTTAGTGAATAAACTTTGTTCTTAAAAATTTTAATTATTTTCCTACTTGTATCATAAGTGTACTAGGTGAAACCCGTCGAAATCGACGGTTATTTTCAAAGAATTACGCTAATTCATCCAACTGCGATAAATTGAGTGAAATTGTACATATTTTGAGCATTTAGCATTGTTTAAAGATTAATAAGTGTAAAAACAATAATGATAGTTACCAAATATGGTTGATCATTCAATGAATAAAATATCTCCCATACTGTACGTCATCGGAGTTTTTAGTATATTATCTGGTATCTCATCGTTTGGATTAAACTTTAAATAATATTAAAATCTTATTGGTGGATCTTTTGTAGATAAACACTCCCGTGATTTCATCAGTGTAATGCAAATTAATCTATGATTTTATTTGAAAAAAATATCTGTTTGTTGGGAAGACACGTTCTAACTTCAAAGGGAGATATCCATTACAGTGTAAGTTTGATTTTTCCTTCGTCACGTCGCGTCAGTTCATATCGTACTTCTGTGCTAATGAATAACCCTCTATCACAGTTTTGAGAAATTTGTTGTGGGGTTACTGTTAAAGCTGGAATTCCTTGACATGGGGGATGTCAGTTAGTTGTCTCAGCCATATCAATTACATAAAGTTGTCAATATAATCTCTCTACGGAATGTGAGGTGTAGTGGAATATACTTGAAGTGAAGTTGGCTTTTATTCTTAAACTGTTAGGGGCCTCCTCATTTATATGCGGCTTCATTGACAACAAATAATGCAAATGACATAGCAATGGGACATTTCCAAAAAGCAAAAATACTGTAAATTTGCTGTTACATAAATGTTGACGTTTACATGAATTGTTAATCAACATATCTTATAAAGGATGATGTGATCTAGTTTAAAAGGAATATGACCTTTCTGTCATGACAGTAGCTGCTTAAATATTATTTACTCATTGGGTCATAATTACAGCCAAAAGGTTGTGTTATTTTCAATAACATATGGGTAAGTTACATAGATTTTTTTGCTGCTGATCAGTGCACTTTAAGAATATATATTTTGGAGATAAATTAAATGGTTTTTGTTGCAGAGTAGCGCTAGTAAACATGCACAACCCTTTTCGTTAGTCTAATAACATTCAAAGGCTCTCTAAGAATTCAAGTTCTTATTTATATAGGTACATATCTATGTTATGTTTTCACTAAGCTGGATGAATACATCGAAGTAACCTCTCTGAAAAGTCTGCAGTATATTGCAGTTTTCCAGCTTAATGACTTTATTTATCATGCAAATATTTCTACATAAATATTGTAAAACAGTTGCTGTAAACTACTTTTAATTTAACAAAATATGGACACGGCTCAAATAGGCACCACACCGTGCCTTTCTGCACTTGTAGGCTATTATTTTGTATTGTATTACACAATTTAATATTTTTCCAATGATTGAAAACATGTATGACAATAATCTCATGAACCTATGATGATCTGTCTAGAAAATAACAATAAATCTATACAACAACACAACATAACAATAATCTAGGGATGGTCAAGTCTCGAAATTTCGGGAAATTTTCAATCTCGTTACACGAGACGAGATTACTTTTTGGCCGAGATTTTTATCGAGACGAGAATAAAAAAAAAAAAAAAAAAAAAAAAGTTAAAAACGCCTGCAGAAAGTCAATGCAATACCCGCAATACAGGAGCGTGTTGTAGTTGCGTTTCCTTTTCGAAGGCGTTCTTATTTAATTAATTCTTTTAATGTAAATATTACTTTAATTCTTTTAATGTAAATATTACTTTCATTATTTTAATAATATTACTTTAATAACATTTGAGAAGTTTTGTTAAGTGTAAGCAGTGTGAGGAATGTTTTATTACTATAAAAAAAGTCAAAACAAGTAACTATTTTATAAAAATTAATATTGCTTTTATTTTATGATTTATTTTATTTTAGGATAAGTTGAACTCTATCCTAACTGATATCACCATGTTTCCTAATCGTAGGCATTTTTAATAAGTTAGGCGTGATTAATAAAAAAATGTTATGCTGATGTTATTTAATGAAAGATTGTAAATATTCTTGCCTATTATCATTATTTTAGTATTTAAACAGTCATCTAACAATGTCACAAAATCAGGTAAAAATTTCGAACGTGCATTTCCCGTTGTGTATGAGAAGAGAAATCTCGTCTCGATCTCGTCTCGAAATTTTATGAGAAATAAAAAATCTCGTCTCGTCTCGTCTCGAACTAAAAATCCAATCTCGTCCATCCCTACAATAATCTATTAACAATGAATAATAACAATTATCTATCAATTGATCTGTCTAGTAAATTATATAATAAAAATAAAGACAAAAATGGTGAAAAGGGCAGTCACCAACCCATAAAATAGATATAAGGTCAATAAGAAATAATTTTAAGAGTTACTGTGATAAAAGGATTTTCCACTGATTTTCGTCATGGTATATATTTCAAAACATAACATGATACAGAAAAAAAAATAATTTTTAAATCAGAAAAATAACATTGCAAATGCTTCTTTTGGACAATTCAGTAAATCCCAATTAATGTGTCTTGTTTAAAATACAATTTACAAATTAACAGCTGTTTCATTAAAAAAGTATTATCCACATGGTCAAAATGTAAACAAATCTGTAGAGGGATCTTTAAAGGCTTCTGGGGCAGAGCCCTAAGGGATTTTACTTTTTTTTTCTTTTGATAACCCATCTACAGACCAAGACCTTTCTCTTTGACACCCCTACCAAGTTTCTACGCCCAGCCGTTCTCTCAAATTAGTGGAGACAAAGTTTCCAATTAAATTTTTAGATTCCCCCATGTTAATCTTATGGGAGAAAATCCAACTTTGATGGAAGATCCTGCCCAAACTAATAAAGATATCAAAAAAACGAAAAACACTTTGCAAAACTACAGATCAGGGCAATTCTTTTGACATTTTAATCATCAAAATCAGTCCAAAAATGAGGGAGAAGTTCTGTTCACAAAAATCGGCTTAGCGTATATATATATAGATTGCATTTCGCATATCATGTCATTTTTATTCCATCACGCCACAAAATAATAAAATAAATTGCAAAAGTTATGCTTAGCCTAATGTGAAAAATATTGGAACTATCATGAAATTGTTTTTACCTACGACCGTTTTTTAAAGTAGCCATTTCAGTCCAGTTCTTAGAATTGAAAAGTTTCACTTTACAGCTGTTTACTTTCATATCCGCATAGTTTCATTTCATATCCGCATAGTTTTTTCATATCCACACAGGTAACGTTGACCAATGAGGATCAAGTATTGAGAGAAAAGAATTAAAATTGTAATGCTTCGAACGTCAACTAATCAGCTGATCAGCTGATCAGTTGACCAATTTAATTGTTGATCCGACTTGTTCATGTTGATACTCGCGTATTCTTAATTAAGTTGGTGGAAGTCCAAAAATAAATGAAATATTTGCCGAATTGTACCTGATATAATATTATTTATGGTAAGAATGCTGCTAGCAATGTAATATTTAAGGAAGTTTAAAAAACACGTAATTACAGGAAATCAGCTGATTATACAACAAGTCGTTGCATCACTTTCAGTGGCAATGACAATACACGAAAACATAACCTCTCTAAAAAGTTATCATTAGTGATTGTTAGTAATTAAATCCAGATTGAAAGTAATTAAAAAACGGTCGTAGGTAAAGTAGTGTACGCAACTCGTGTTAATAGTCTTTACGACACTCGTAGAAGTTTTTAAGGCACTCGCCAAGGCTCGTGCCTTAAATTTTCTACTCGTGACATAAAGACTCACACTTAACGCAATCGTTGCGTAAACTACTATTCTTTCACTATAAAACATTTTACATTTAATTTAATTTTTCTAACAAATGTTTCTTTAAGAATATTGAAAGTGAAGTGTATTTTTGAGGTCACAACCTTTTGTCATTGAAAAAAGATGTATATATTTTAAAACTTTGGGTTAACAAACATACACAGATCAGTTTAGTTTCCAGTTTATATTTTATTTTATCGATTCACAAAATGCTCAATTCAATTTTATAATCACAATAATAAATTATTGCATACTTGGAAAGACGTTAAACTCATTTTGAAGGCTGTTCCTTAGCAAGCTTAATAGGCAATCGGAATCTTTAATAATTCTCGAACCTGAAGATGAGACAAGCCAACTTGGAAGGGTGAAACAGGGCAATAAATTTACTAATAATGATATTAATATCAATAATAATAATACCTTATTATTTACTCTTACTACTAATTAGCCACACCTTGCTGAATACACCACATACAAGTGGTGATTTATTACAACAATTGCATTAACTCGTTTTTGAGGAAAACTAATTAATCTGTATGTTCTAAGTAATCATAAAACTATTGCTTTGTTCATCCCTTCCTGTCAGGTAGCTAAAGGTTCTTTTGTTGAGCAGAGGCAGAAATATTGACAATGCTATATTCACTTACTTCAGTAACAAATGGATACATCATAAAAGTAGCTTGAAAAGTAGTAAATGTAATTTTTTATGTAGGAAAACGTTAATATTTTGTAAGCATATAAATATTATTTGAATAATCATAAAACTGTTCTATAATTACCCGTGGCTTCTGGGTTAACTAATATTTTTAAGTTTTATGCCTAAGATTAAAACAGATGTCAAAACAAGACAACTTTTCTTAATTTTCTCTTAAAATTCAGTAAAATTGACTTCAAAAGGTCCCGCACATAATAATTACATTTGAGGGGTGAAAGCATAGCTCATACAGTTTGGTCAAATGTTCTCAGTCAAGATAGTTATTGTAAACCTCAGGATAAGGTTTAGTAACTGGAAATACATAAGTAATGAATAAATCAAAATGTTTCTAGAGAAAGATTAACCCTTTGAGTGCCAACGTCCGGGGAACCGGACGTTTTTAAAACGAGCCAAAAGTGCCAACGTCCGGCCGACCGGACGTTTTTAGAACGAGCCAAAAGTGCCAACGTCCGGCTGACCGGACGTTTCGTAATGATCGAACAGCTGTCATAACAACCGAATAAATACTAGGATTCTTTAAACCCATATATTAACATTGAGTCGAAAGTTGCTAGATGCGATACATCGATTTTCGTTGGTCGAAATATCGAAAATTCGATTTTTACGAAATTTTAACCTAAAAATCGCCAGATCGCGCTCGGCATTTTTAGCGCGACCTTCGGGAAAAATCATCGGCATTTTTTGAGCGTTACTTTTATTTCTCGCCTGGCACTCTAAGGGTTAATGTTACAATTAATCTACATTTGATGTCACATAATTTCCGAATTTCAATTCAAAGTTCTTTCAAAACACTGTGGTCATGTGTTGAGTCATCTTTTTGTTTGATAAGGACATCTGTATTTTTCAAGTAACATCAGAATGATCTTTTTTACATCTTGTAAAACTTGACGTGTAATGTGATTACAAACTTCTAATTTTATTTATTTGTGTTTTAAATGCTTGAAAGAACATGTCTTTAAAACATCTGTATAAATATGATAACTTATTATCATAAGAAACCTCCTTTATTTAGTATCCTTGTTATTAATTACTTAAGTTTTAATGTTTTTAAGCTCATTTTATCGACTTTACTATTCAATACTCAACACAATTTCAAAACCTTTCTTTTGGAATAGGTTTACTGTTTTATATTTTAACTGCTTTCAAAGATAATTAATTCCAGGTTTACTCCTTTTTTAAATCCTTAAATCTATCTAAAATATAAAACAAAATATATGTACAATGGCAGGAATCGCAAAAGCCTACATGATTATAATAATTGCTAAAAAATGTTCAAATGTCAGTTTGCTTTTTTTGGTGCCTTTCTTCTTTTGAAGGCTGTCGCCTGTTTGAGGAGTTCAGCATTTTCATCTTCAACTAGAGAGGGAACTTCAAGCAGTCTTCTAGGCAATAATAACAAGCCTATAAGTGTAAGACCTGAAAATATAAAATCAAATCAGCAACTAGAGTAAATTGTTTCCATCATCCTACTAATATTATAAATGAGAAAGTTTGGATGTATGGATGTATGTTTGTGACAAGTGAACGCGAAAAATACTGGTCGGATTGGGCTGAAATTTGGCATGATGATAGCTCACATTCCCGATTAGCATATAGGCATATTCTTATTTCAAAAATCCTTTCAGGCTCCGCCCCAGTGGCCCTGGAGTTTCCCATGTTAACCTTATGAGAAATGGAATTATTGAATCTTAACAGCTGTTTCAATTAAACAAGTTGGTTCTGTTCTATGATGTTCAATAGCATTAAAGTTACAAGGATTACCAACAGGGTGCAGCACTATTATTTCTTTTACATTTATGACAAAAGCTAATTTGCAACCAAAAGGTGAGTGAGCGTAGCGAACGAACTTCAACCTGGAGGCAAGTGAGCGCAGCGAACGAGCTCCAACCTAAAGGTGAGTGAGCGTAGTGAATGAGCTCCAACCTAAAGGTGAGTGAGCGTAGCGAACAAACTTCAACCAGGACGTGATTGAGCCATGCGAACGAGATAATCTTGAAAATTAAGAAGTTAAACGGGGCAAAGCCCGCGGGTTACAGCTAGTATTTAATTAATATGTGGTTTGTGGTGATGTACAATGATTTATGAAATAATATAATTAACATTATAGAGGATTCATTGCATGGACAAAAAGTACAACAGAGTACTGTTGTAACTTACTACCTTACAAACCTTACACTACAGTAGTGCATTCTGTGGCTCACCGTAACAGTGTCTAAAATTCTACCTGACTTTTTCTTGCTGACATAGTTGATGGGTCATAACGGTTTAAGCTTATTGTTGTTCTTAAATTTGACTACTTTAAAATGGGGATGGAATATCTAGTGGTTGTACAATAGTTAAAAAATCATTTTTTCAACTCAGCTCTTTTATGGAAACAGATCTGTAGGCTTATACAAATTGCTATATTGGATAATTTGCATAAATCTCATGAAGAATCTCATTATAATTTATTGTCTTTGATGTTCTCCGCACAAGCTGCTAATGAGAGATTAAATTTTGTGGAAAGGCGAATGTCCGTTGACCTTCCAGTTATATTTACGTGTCTCACAACTCTCTTTATTCATAAACGTTGATTCCTTGCCAACCCCTGAGTACAGTCATTGTATGAATGGAACTCGCTCATCTCTGGTCCAGTTCAACACATTGATATTCTGAGATGGTCAAACAGCCTGTTGAAATGTGGGATTAAATGAAATGACCATACGAGATATTGAAGGTAATTATTAATAAGTAGGCTTAAGCTTCGTCGGGAATAATTAGTTGTGAAAATAAACATTGTATTTATCAGAGAAAAGTCCCTGCTAAATACAAATTGGACACAAATATATTTTTAACAAAAGTATGTGTTTTTAAATTTGTTTTGCCAAAAAAATAACATTTCTCATATTGTTAGAAGGTAGAACATGTTTTGTCGTATTAATTTTAGCTTCAGGTACCACTAATTTTTAGATTGAGAGTTTGAGGCACTGTCTGCCAAAGTCAGTACTACAGCGGTAATTATCCAAAAATCATTGAAATATTTAAAGCAGTTTTTTCCCAAAACTATATTTGAATAAAAGTTAAACAAATTTAAACTTCTTGATTTTTATGATAAACAAACAGCTACCTATCAGTAATTGAATAGTGAATTGTTTTCTTATATTTGAAGATGATTTCATTGTATCCAAACATCCTGATAATTAAATACTGTATTCATTTCCAAACAGTTAACTCAAGCAAATTCAAGTAACTTTGCGTAGAACTATTACCTGAGTCTAGAATTGAATTGTATTATTACTTGTCTTTAACAAGTTTGATCGAGTTTAGTATAATTTAATATAAAATAAGTTTAAACTTCTGGTGAGGATATATTTAACCTATATCCAGCTCATCAACATCAAGATGTATTCGTGCTGCTGAATATTGCATCATTCTGAAGTCAGGTATTGCCTCGGAGTCTTTATTACCTCAGATAACCACAAGTGTTGTGGTATGTCCAGCAGTGACATAAATATGTTTATAGCATGACATAGAGGAGCGATAACAAAATTTGTCGCCATTGGATTATTGGTCCGCTGCTGATACCATATAATGGTATATCCAAATGCTATAAAGATAAAATTCTATCCTGTGGTTTCTGCCTAATGGGACTTTGAATAGGAGAGGAGTGAGATAAAAATACAGATGGTGGCACTTGAACTTTTATTGAAATTCAGATTTGATTCTGGTTCTACTGTTTAAATATTTCAGGTGACTATTGTATTCTTAGTTTGGTAGTCTACATTTTAACGAATTTCCATATGAATAAGCTATTACCATAGGTCTCATGGTAAGACCTGGACCCGGGACCAATTTACTTTTTTGTTTTGAGGTCGCCAGAGGCCCAAATCAACATCATTCCGTCCACATTCATTTTTGTATTGTTTAATTAAATCGATTTTGTAATAATATATAAATACCCCCGCCGCATCAAACCTGCAGACTAAGCGAATTTCCATTTGCCAGATTGGATTTACACTAAAATGTCTACTTAAGAATACAGGGTGTCCCATAAGTAAAGTGCCAAACTCTGGGAATAGGTTCTATGGGTCAAAATAAAGAGAAAATCAAGAATAAAGTTTTTTTCAAAAACGCTTCGTTTACCAGATATCCGCCATTTTGTATTTTTTACTAAATAATTTATATCTTCTGATTTTTTCAACCGATCCTTATAAAACTCGGTAAGTATGTTTAGATAAAAGAGACCTACTGTAGAAAAAAAATTCAACTTGGTCCAATTTAAAATTTCAAAATGGCGGCCATTTTGAACATTTAATCTAAAATTACGGGAAAACGGTAAAAAATACAAAATTGTACTAAGAACACTTTTTTTTATAAAATTTTATTTCCAATCTATCAACACCAAAAACATGAAAATCGAACAAAAAATAACCGAGATACATTAAAATGTGTGTTAAGAGGCAGCAAAAAATCCATTTGTTGTAAATAGCCCCAATCACCAGATCAGCTGTTTTTAGAAAATAATTGTAATTGGTATAATTCATATTTTTTCAACCGACCTGTATAAAACTCGATAAAAGAGACCTACTGTAGAAAAAAATTAAACTTGGTCCAATTTAAAATCTGAAAATGGTGGCCATTTTAAACTTGTAATCTAAAATTAACAAAACAATAACCGAGATACATTGAAACCATTTATTGAGTGACAACATAAAAAATGAGGAAACTAATTAAATACAAAATCAAATCTTAACAAATGATAGCTTTTTTGAAAGTTATCAACTACAACAAATGTTCCATGTGTCCTCCATTCATTTCTACGACACAAACCATCCTCTTTCTCATCGACTCCCTCACTCTTTCAAATACCCCAGGCTTTTGTCTTATCACTTCACAACCTGCTACAATTCGTTCCCTTAAGTCCTCAATACTGTCAACAGGGGTATGGTAAACCAAAGATTTTAAATAGCCCCATACAAAAAAGTCCAGGGGATTAAGGTCAGGAGACCTGGCAGGCCATGGGATGGGCCCCCCACGCCCTATCCATTTATTTCCAAACACTTGATTTAAATGTCGCCTTACATCCAATGAAAAGTGTGGTGGCGCACCGTCTTGCATAAACCACATATTGTTTCTCAAATGAAGGGGTAAGTTTTCTAGCAATCCGGGAAGATCTTGTGTTAAAAAGTTTAAGTAAGACACACCATTAAGTCGGTTGGGTAAAAACCATGGCCCTATAAGATAGTCCCCAACAATGCCTATCCAAACATTGAGAGAAAAGCGCACTTGATGCCTTCTTTGTGATATCTCATGGGGATTTTCATCGGCCCAGAAGTGATTATTATGAAAATTAAAAATTCCTTCTCTCGAGAACCCAGCCTCATCGGTAAATAAAATGTTGGAGAGAAACAGAGGAAGTAATGCGATCTGTTGCAAGAACCATTGACATAAGTTAATACGGGGTGGAAAGTCCCTATCGGTTAGGCATTGCACCCTTTGGATATGGTAAGGATACAACTGCTGATTATGTAGAATCCGCCACACAGAACTTTTTGAAATACCATGTTCAAGCGATATTCTTCTAACACTAGTACTTGGGTCTTCTTCCACGGCCGTCAAAACTCTTTCTTGATTATTTAATGTATCTACAGAAACAGCCCGTCCGGTCTTCTCAGTGAATTTTAGTGTTCCTCGTTCCCTCAAATTCCTGTGAACATTTACAAACACTTTCCTACACGGAATTCGTCGGTTGGGGAACGTTTCTGCGTAAAGGCGGCATGCCTCACGCGAATTCCCATTACCTAAGCCGTAAAAAAAATGAATATCAGCTAGCTCGACATTAGAATAGCTATGGTTCGGCATTTAAATAAACTTAGAAAATATCAACCTAACCTGATCACAATGATGATGTTTAAAGTAAACAGAACAATAATAACAACAATGCAACAATGCAACTCAACAAACACATGTTTTTCAATCAGCTGTTCAGCTGATTGGGGCTATTTACAACAAATGGATTTTTTGCTGCCTCTTAACACACATTTTAATGTATCTCGGTTATTTTTTGTTCGATTTTCATGTTTTTGGTGTTGATAGATTGGAAATAAAATTTTATAAAAAAAAGTGTTCTTAGTACATTTTTGTATTTTTTACCGTTTTCCCGTAATTTTAGATTAAATGTTCAAAATGGCCGCCATTTTGAAATTTTAAATTGGACCAAGTTGAATTTTTTTTCTACAGTATGTCTCTTTTATCTAAACATACTTACCGAGTTTTATAAGGATCGGTTGAAAAAATCAGAAGATATAAATTATTTAGTAAAAAATACAAAATGGCGGATATCTGGTAAACGAAGCGTTTTTGAAAAAAACTTTATTCTTGATTTTCTCTTTATTTTGACCCATAGAACCTATTCCCAGAGTTTGGCACTTTACTTATGGGACACCCTGTATAACATTTATTTCCTATTTAAATAAAATTAGTTTAACAAGTACTTAGGTTTGCTGCATTAGGGAGGGTAAAACTGTTTTTTTTTATGTTAATAGTTAGTGAGAAATAAAATCATTTTCCAAATTTGACCAAAATATGTTCATAAACAAGCAAACTACAACAGTTTACTTGTTCTCCATAAGAATAACATGGGAATTAATATACTAAATTATTTGTTTTTTAAGCTCTTCAAAATGGTTTGAAAAGAAATTGCTAAATTTTATGTTTTTTTGGTCAAAATGGGAATGAATTTGAACGGATGGTGTTTTTGGTCTCTAGGGACCTCAAAAAGAAAAAAAACTATTTTTAATTGAGAGGTTGGTGAAATGATTAACTTGTCATACTACCACTAGACAGAAGCTAAATCCAGACTATTTAAATCGAATTAAATTATTTTGTAGCAATCAGATTAACTCACCATTTAATGCACATGGAAATATTATATAAAAGTTTAAAGTTGCAGACTGATAGTATAAAGCTTCCATTGTGTACATTGTTATGGTCAGAAGCAGTGAGCAAACTCCCATGCTGATGATGCTGAAACATAACAAATTGTTATTTCAATGGAATGCCTAAATGGATGGATTTCAGAATTTTCCAACTATGATATTTTATGTTTGTTTACATTTATTTCAATTTGTCTCCAACCAGAAAAAAGTCTTGTATTGATAATGTTTTTGTTAATTTTTCTGAGGATCTATACAATGTAAAAGTTATGAAATCCTGTTTATCTGATCACGATCCTCTTCTTATTAATTATAAAATAGATAGAAAGAAACATGTAGAAATTAACTCAGATAAATCTGGAATCAAACATTATTTTCGCAGACAAGATGAAGAACAAATTTCCTTGTTTATTGAGTGTTTAAAAAATGAACATTGGGAAATGATAAGCTCCTATCTATGTAATGAGATAAATGTAGAAGCTTTGTTTGACTTATTTTTTAAAAGGTATGTTAATCTTTGGCATTTCGCTTCTCCTTTAGTATCATCTAAGAGTAAATGTAGAACCAAACAAAAATTTAATTGGTATTCAGACGATCTAAGAAAATCTAGAGATCTAATGCTAGGTTATCATAATGTGTATAAGTGCTTTGAAAGAGATCACTCGGTCCATACTGTTGCGGCTTACAGGGCTTACTTGTTTTTTAAGAAGCAATACAAGGATAATATTAAAATGGCTAAGAAGCAGACGTATGAAAATTATATTGAAAACTCAAGTAATAAGTGTAAAGCCGCGTGGGAGGTGATTTCTTTAGAAACACAATCACATACAAACAACACTAAAATAACAATTGATCCAAACCATTTTAACAATTTTTTCATTAATTCAGTTTCAGATATACAGAAAAATATAACAAGCACCAACACACAGGCACATAACCTCACACGGAACTCGAAACAAAAGTCAATTGCTTTCAATTGGTCTCACGTCTTCACGGATCAGGTAATGAAAACAGTGACAAATCTTTCCAACTCAAAAGCAACAGATTTTTACTGGATATCTAATTTTCTTCTAAGAAAAACCATAATGTATATTAGTGAGCCTCTTGCATTCATCTTTAACCAGTGTTTGACTCAGGGCTATTTTTCTGATTTACTAAAAGTCTCTAAGGTGATTCCTGTCTATAAAAAAGGGGATAAGGCTCTGGTACAGAATTATCGACCAATTTCAATTGTTCCCATCTTCTCTAAGGTATTTGAGTCACTCCTACACGTTCAGCTTAATCATCACTTCCACATAAACCATCTATTTAGTCCCTACCAGTTTGGGTTTCGATCAAAGAAATCAACAACCACTGCTGTGTCTACTCTGGTTGACAACATTCTTACTGCTTTTGAAAATAAGGAATCAGTGTCTCTAAAGCTCTGCGATCTGAGTAAAGCCTTTGATTGTGTTGAACATCGTATTCTCCTTGACAAACTCTCTTACTACGGCATCTCACACAACTCTCTGAATTTATTGAAGTCCTATCTGTCTAATCGTAAACAATATGTTTCTTTTAATTCTAGCCAATCAACAACATTAACTGTAACAACTGGTGTTCCCCAGGGCTCTGTTCTTGGACCATTTCTTTTTATAGTTTTCATTAACGACCTACCTTACAACATACCCTCTCAGACAGTCATTTATGCTGATGATACAACTTTACTTTCATCACATTCCAATCTGAAAACTCTTGAGGAGAACATAAATCATGCTTACAACTCTGCACAAATATGGTTTTCATCAAATAAGTTGCTTTGCAATAATGATAAAACTCAAGATTTATTGCTAAGCATGGCAGGTAGAAGTAACTATAAATCAGTAAAGCTTCTTGGTTTTCATTTGGATTCTAGACTTGATTGGAATGATCATATAGATGGCATTTGTAAGAAAATTTCCAGAGTGTCTTTTTTAATGTGGAAACTTAGAGATTGTGTGAGGGATGAGTATTTGAGGATATCTTATTTTTCTTTTGTCCAATCACATATTTGTTATGGAATAGTTTTGTGGGGTCACTCTAGTGCTGTACATGACATTCTAATAATTCAAAAGAAAATCTTGAGAACTATGTGTAGAGTGGATGAAGTGGAACACTGTAAACCATTGTTTATCAGACTAAATATCATGACAGTAATAAACCTTTATATCTACCAAGTACTTATCCACACAAAACTACACCTTTCAGATTTCACCACCAGAGACCACTTTCATGCACATGACACGAGAGGCAAGGCTAAGCTGGATCTACCCCAACACAGGTTGGCCAAAACAGGTAAATCCTTTAAAGCCAACTGTGTAAGGTTTTTTAATAGGCTCCCCCAAACTGCAAAACTCATCCCATTTAATCACTTCAAAAAAACTATAAAAAATTGGCTAGTTGAAAACCCTTTTTATTCGCTTGATGAATTCGAAATGTCAGAGTTTAATGTTAAGTTTTAACCTGTTGTACATAGTTTTTAGTTAATTTTAATTTAATGTATTAGCATTTAGTAAGAATATTTTGACTGTTCCTATTTCTGTATTGCTATAGATCAATGGAATAAATACTCTTGACTCTTGACTCTTGACTCTTTACGTTGAGCATGTTACAAAATACATTTAATTTTTTTCATGGATTAAAGTACCATTTTAGTAAGGGCTGATTGAACCTTGGTACAAGAAGTTAATGTTGGTAATTGAAGAGGAGAGGGAATAAATTATTTCTCATACGGGCCTGATATTAATAGAATAGAATTAATAAGAACAGTTATTACAAAATGTGGCAAAGAAAAAAATACAAACTTTTATCAGTACTATATTGAAATTCAATCACATTAATGGTCAACCACCAATTAATTGTAATTTTAGCATTTTAAGAAAAAATTTTCATAAATAGAACTTCTACAATGCTAACAGGTTTTGGCAGGAATTTTGACAAAATTGACAGTTCCTCGTAGTCTAGTTGAAAAGACTCTTAATCTTAAAGCTACAACACATTGATCTAAGTAAGGATTGAAATATTTTCTTGTAGGCCCTATAACATGTTTTTAATATAGAGTTTAATGTCAACTTACGGTCTGTAATGAATGAAAACTGTGCAGTGGATGAGTGCTATTGCTTTCAATATAGAGTACATTCCAAGAACTCTAGGCAGAGTGGGGTCACCTGAAAAAAGAATGATTCTTATAAAAAACACTGAGTAGTTTTAAAGGGTTAGCGGAATTTTATCCCCCTGGAATTTTACCCCCTGGGCGAAACTTACTTCACAAACCAGGGGTTCAAATCCCGGATTTTTCAGCTTCCATTTTTTACTGAACTGAGATAGAGACCTCTAATTTGCGTTGTTGGTTTTCTTTTACCAGGACCTTTAAAATGAGGGGCCACTCGATGGGTCTTTGTATTTGAAATTTTTGAGTTTCCCCCTAAATCCCCATTTTGGGGATGAACACCAAGTGGCGGTTGTGCCCAAAAAGTACTTCATAACATGCCATAATGATGTGCTGAGTTTAGTTTTTCTAGTATGGGCCGTTAAAAAAAATAACAGCGGGTCTCCACACTTTTTACTAACCCTATATAGTTTTTAAGTCATCTTGGCCGCCATCTTGAATATCTCAATTTTCTCAAGGGTGACAAAGTGGCACCCTGCCTATTTTAATTATGTAGGTCTTGAAGAAACAGAAACCACTAAAAAACATCGGGTGGACCTTACTTCCAGGTTTTTTGACCTGCAACCAGACTATTCAACATTGATTAAATAAATGCACAGACTGAAACCACTGTGTATTTTTATCACTGTCTGGCCCAACCATTTACTCTAGAAGTCATTTTCATACAAAACTTCAGTACATAGTTAAATTCCATCAGAATAAAATATCCTGAAGTGTACAGTTGATCTAGAGATAATAAGGTTTATCTGACTTTAGATGAAGTACTCTACACTAGCGGAGGAGGAGTTGGCTGATGTAACAATGTTGATGTGTTTCAGGTATTTATATTACTTATACTTTTTTTTGCAAAAAGATTTAAATTTAAATAATATAATTACAGTATTTAAAAAGCAAATAAACTCCTTTTGGACAATTATAAGAACTAGCTGTTACCCACGGGCTTCGCCCCGTTTGACTTTATGGTGGAAGGGTTTGACTACATAAGTATTAAAACTATTGATTGGTTAAGTTAAGCTGAAATAAACAAACAAAACATAAAACAGTAATACAAACAAACAATAATCACACGATTTTAATAAGGTAACCAATTGAAAGAATAGCATACAAATAAGTACAGCTGAGGTATTTTTAACATTGGGTATATGGAAAGTTCCCTTTGGAAAGTAAAATTACGACCTTATAGGGAAATTTATGAAGTATTGGATAGTTTTGCGCAAGGTTTCTCGTCATGACGAACATTTTAAGTATATGGTTTATGGGGGTGTGACTTGTAGTTTTCTCAAAAGTTCATAGGTACTTTGGGCTTTATGGACTAGCAGAGTACCCGTACTTCGTACGGGGTGCTGAATTTTTATTTCAGGATTAGTGTTGCCTACAGTATTATTTTGGGGCTTCTGATTGGCTGAGGGAACATCATTACCGCGACGATACGGTTGATGCCATCGGCCTCGGTGGTGTAGTAGATAGAGTGCTGGGCTGATGATCCGAAGGAACAGGGTTCGAATCCCACCCTTGGCATATTTTGTTGTATTGGATTTTTTTCATTATCAACAAGTTTGGTTGGTTTGGTTAGGTTATGATGGTTTAATTTTAGAATTAAAAAACTATAAAATAGGATTTAAGGCATTTATAATTTTATTTTATGAACAGAACTATTTCTTCGATTAATAAACCTTCATTAGATTTTTTCATTGTCAGCACGTTTGGTTGGTTTGGTTAGGTTATGACGGTTTAATTTCATAATAAAAAATACAAAATTAAATTTGAGGGCATTTATAATTTTATTCTATGAACAAAAATAATTTTTCAATTACTAAGCCTTCGTTATAGTCAATCAGAAGCCTCTAAATGACACTGTTGGCAAAATAAGTCCTGAAAAACAAATTGTGCGTACGGGGTTGGCATCTATTATATTATTAAAGTGATACAATCAAATTTTATGTAAACGGCTAAGGCCATTTACTAAATAAAAATATAGGCATATGGCACATCAAAATGAAGCTTAGAGTGTGTAGATTTGCCGAAAAGTATTTATATGGACGAACTTCCTAAGGGCTCTGCCCCACAGGCTGATTTCCAAAGGGCTACGCCTGGCATAATTCCAAAGTTTACATGATTTAATTTAATTCAGTTAATGAAACAGCTGGTCAGTACAATGAAGTGGTGTTTGTTTATTTACTCGAAAAAGATGTTTGTGACGCTTTATGTAGATTTAGGAGGGTTATGTTTGGTTTAAAGAACGTTTGAATACGTTTTGTAAAGTATTGCTCAAAGTTTCATTTTGTAATTTATATAGTAAGCTAGAATGTAAAGAGGCTTGACTAAATTTGAAGAATACATTATGGTAAAACATGTCATTCGTGAAGCATCAGTAAGAAGCAATTTATGTTACTGCTAAACTAAGGTATGTTGTCATATTCTTTTGGATTTATTAACATAAATAAAAAGTAGGGGTTGAAAGTAAGTAGGTTTACACTTTTAAAATCAATTTATATTTTCAAACTAAATCATAGAGTTGCCGTATTTTAAAACACATATTAGAATTACTTTAATAGCTCTCTAGGTCACATTTTCTTCCCGTTGCAAAGCACGGGTATAGCAGCTTGTATAAGCATAAAATGCTTATTGCAGTTATACTCGAGCTTTGCGTTTGCAATGGGGGAGGCCACAGTTTAGGCATAATGTTCTACCACTTCACCTAAATAGAGGAAAAAAATTAATTAGCAAAATATCACAAATTATTCATGAAATTAAAAACAAAAACATAACTGTAAACAATCCTACTTTGACAGTTCTCATTACGTAAAACAGTTTTTTGTTGCTGCTTAGTTCAAAGTAGCTGCATAGATAAAACATACCCCTTAGTAGATTTCTCATCATAATGGAACAGCTGAAGACAATTTTATTGTTAGTTCTGTACAGTTTATGTAGAGGTCGTGTTTGGTTTATAATTTGTTTCCCGTTAATACAGTCATTTAAAACCTCGTTTAACCAAATAATACGATCTAATCATAAACAATAAATGGTCCCCTAGTTATTTAACCAAACAGTAAAGCACAAATCAAGAAATTAACCCTAAAATAATAGAAACAAAATTTCGTCGACACTAGCGCCCAGTGTGGCGTACATGAACTAGACATGAAAAACGAGCTTCAAAATTTACAATGGAAGAAGTCTACTTGTGTTGGTTAGTCTATGGTAGCTGTTTTCATAAATGCAAACAAAAATAATAGTGCTTCACCCTGGTGGTAAATCTTATAACGTTTTAATGCTTTTTCATATCATAGAACCAACTTTTTTAGTTGAAACAGCTGACTAAATTCTTTAATTATTCCCTTTAAATGTGATTACTCATAAGGTTAACATGGGGAACTACAGAGCCAGTGGGGCGGAGCCCGAAAGGATTTTTGAGATAAGAATATGCCTATATGTTAATCGGGAATGTGAGGAATCATCATGCCAAATTTCAGCCCAATCCGTCCAATAGTTAATGCGTGATTGAACTTCAAACAAACAAACACACAAACTTTGTTTATCAGCTGTGAAAATTCATTATTTGATTGTTTACTACGGCAAAAGAATGTTTACTATCTTGTATGGATTTTGCCGACGTAAACATACAAAGATTTGTTATTGTTTTGACAAATGTTTCAATTTTCAACAACCAAAACTGTACAACCGAAGTAAATATTAACGTTAAATTGAAGACATAACCTAAAATGTCTATTTTAATTCAGATAATAAATAGTCCTTGTAGTGCAGCGAAAAGTACTGTATCGTTCAAAACACGTGTGAAAGTAGTCATTATACAGGGTCAGTAAAAAGCGTGGAGACCCCCTGTTAATTTTTTAACGGCCCATACTAGAAAAACTAAACTCGACACACCTTTATGGCATATGAAGTACTTTTTGGACATAGCCACCACTTGGTGTACATCACCAAAATGGGGGATTTTGGGGGAAACTCAAAAATAATTAATACAATATTTAGCCCCATTGAATGACCCCTCATTTTGAAGGTGCTGGTAAAAGAAAACCAACAACACAAACTAGAGGTCTCTATCTCAATCCAGTAAAAAGTGGCGGCTAATTGATGTTCTTTGAAGTAAAATTTTACTTACAGATTTCCAAGTCTGGAGACCCCCTGTAAATTTTGTAACGGCTCACATAAGGAAAAGTAAACTCTACACACCTTTATGGCATGTTGTGAAGTACTTTTTGAGCCTAATTTCCACTTATGGTTTCCAAACCCAAAATGGGAGATTTGGGGAACTCAAAATTTTTAAATGTTAAGCCCCATCGAGTGACCCCTCATTTTGAAGGTCACCATGGTACTGTATTAATAATGTAACTCAAAGATCATAAATATTGAAAATGTCAAAATTGACAGATCTCGATTTTTTATTTTACAAATGATCAGCGGTCAGACTGGTGACTAAATGTGAAGCAAAGCCACAAGATTATGAGATGGTGAATTTAAACTGATGTTCCGGTGATTTCTTTGGCACCATCAATGATCCAACCAGTGTGAGTAGAGTTTCAACTGCAAATCTCATCTGCTGAGAATCAAGAGTCTGAGCACATTTGGTGGGTTGCCACAGGTATCAACAGTTTTGCTGTACATTTGGCTTGCTCCAGTTACTGGTATGTCTCAAGTTTTCGGTACAATTTTAAGTTTGACAGTATTTTTTAAATGATAAATGTTATCTAATTAACCATTTACCATTTTAATACTTTTAGTTAAAAAATAATACAAATTAGAATTGAAAAAACTAGCTTATACAGTAGATATTTTATAAGACCCATGGGCCTGAATGTGATGACAGTTTTGTAAGTTGGGGTATCAAGTCAAATTTGAAATTGCCTTTATAACTCAATGCAGTAATGCAATTACCATACATCAAAACACTTTTTAATAACTAGTTCATAGTACATATTACCAAGAGAAGATCTGAATGGTATATCGATCGGGGTTTGTGGCTCACACACACTGACAATAGGAAACTGCAGGTGTTTGTTCCATACTTCATATAAATCGCTTCACATATTTTGAAAGTAAGCTCATTTTACAAAACCCATAACCCACATAATGTACTAAACGAAGTTTCAACAAATATAACTCTCAAATGTTTCATTTTACCTTGTTTCCTCCGTTAGCTTTGGTAATTTGGCAAATATACGCAATATCACAAGATAAACGAGCCTCTCAGTGTTTCGTCTGCGGATTAACCTTTGTGTAATGATAATTAATTAGGCAGGAAGCAGTGGGAACAGAAATAAGCGGAGGTAAGCGGACCATAATCCGAGAATTATTGTCTTCCCTGGACTGTCGCCAGATGGACCGCTCGAGCCAAACTCCGCTCAGCTGTTTTTCGTCCACCTTCTTACTGACGTTTCCGGTTTGCTGTAGCTGCCGTTTTGATGTTTCATCCAGCTTCTAGTGTTTTATCCGGTTGATTATGCATAAAGTAAACTTTTCAAAGTGATAAAATGTGACTTCACCAACTTGCATTTAAAAAATGAGAACTATTTAACTACTGTCTGGGGGAGAAATACTCGAGTTGGAACTTAAATATCTCTGAGATGGATGATTCGGTTTTGTTGAAACAAAAGTTAAATACCTATTTCGCTAAACTACTATGATAAGGCCTGTTTTTGTTGCATGTTTATCACCTGCGAAAATCCTTCATTACATTGTTTACTAGGGAAAATAATTTTGACTATGCGAAAGTAATGTTTACTATCTTTTTTTTGTATTTAACTGACGTGAACAAAGATTTGTTATTGTTTTGTCAACTGTTTCAATTTTCAACAACCAAAACTAGACAACCAAAGTAAGTATTAACTTTAAATTGAAGGCATAACCTAAAACATAGAAATATCCAATGGCTATTTTAATTAAGAAAATAATATTATTTTTTGTAGTGTAGCAAAAAAGAAACGTTGAAAACACAAAAGAAAGTGGTCTATACATTATCGACCATTTAAAGTGTTCGATAAATCTCGCACGTCAAAAATGGTCTCAAATATGTAATTACTCATTTTCTACTCTTGTTATGAAATATTCTAGTACAGCCCGGTTATTGGTGTTTTAACCGTGCGAGTACAGGGAGTGATACAACATCATAGGCCCTACTACACAGAAAAATTAGTACATTTTAAACTCATAACACAATTTATTTTGAACATAACATAAATTGTAATATTTTTATATTTCAGAAAATAAAATTGGCCGTTGCAATTAGCTGTTTATTTCATCATCTGACTAAGTGCATGGTAAAAGTACATCACGTTACTTTTCCGTGTGTAGGCATGGCAAAAGGCAACTTTCCAGCCTCATTACAGAAATCAGGTTATTTTTAAACCGATGATTTTTTGTTCCGTTGAAATAGGTTCTAGGTAATTTTGTTGTATTTTAAAGTCCCAAAATTCACGACCATCACGTCCCTAGGGTTCATTTTTCAACTTTCACATTATTGTTAGACTAATTCGTGCCAAAATATATAAAGCCATATTTATGTCATCAATAATTAAGCTTCCAAAAAGGAGCATATTTGTTCTCATTGAGAACTGACCACCATGTCATAATAAGTCTGTCCCTCGATTTTACGTCCCAACCATAAATGTAATGGTAAAATTTGCAACTTTGGAACACGATTATGGCAAAGCCTGGCGGCGATCGCGTCAGTTCAGTTGGTTTTAGAGACTGGTTTGGGATATGCGTTAGTTCTGTTGTGCCCGTGGTTTTGGAGTAAAAAAGGAAGTAAGATTAATAATTAAGACAAGGTTGTGCTTTTTTGTAATATTGGTGTGTCCACGACTGTACGTAGTCATTTGATGAAGCAGACAGGGTGTTAAATTTTGTTGATATGATATTTTAATTGCTACGTAAACCTAAAAAACTTTGCCTCCTCAAATAAATGAGGCGTAGGGCTGCCAGGCATTTGTAACACCTTAAGGTAACACTTATAAACATTACATTTTAAAAATAAATTATGGTTTATCAAGTCTTGTGGAATATTACAAGAATAAGAGTAGGGGAAACCTAAATAAACAATGTATAGTAATTCTCGTTAATAGCTAATTCCAGACCGTAACACTTCCCTGACCATAACGTTCATCAGTTTGATCATCAAAAATTTATGTATCATATTGCAATGTTTTGTACACACAAGAAGGACGCTTCTATAAAAACATAAAGTTGTTTCATATTTTTCTAACATTTTGTTCAGAGTTATAAAGCTTAAAAATATTTTTATTTTTTAGATTTTGTTAGAAAGACCAAATTTACCAAAGGCTTGAGGAGCTATTTATTTCAAAATGGCCCTAAAACTAAATGTATTTACAGCAAAACATATTTATAAAATAATATCAACAATTTTTTATATTTATTCTTATACGTTTTGAAAAAAGGAAAACGTAAGTTCTTAAATTTTAACTCAGATATGTTCTATTCAAGCGTATATTGGTTACCATAAAGATTATTGTAGTACATACAATTAACTGTAATGCTAATTTAACTGAATACAGCCGTCCAAATTTTGCACGGCATTGGAGTGCATAAAAATGTTTAAATCTGTCCTTAAAATAAGAGTGAAACATTGAGTTGCAGCCAGTGAAATGTCACCAACACCGAACACTCATCAACACTTGTTCTATTTCCCCCATATCGACTAATATTCATTGTAATCTTTGCTCCAGTTTACAATATTGATGTTTTGCTGTAGTTTTGTAATTTGCTATTATACTTTGGATGGATTGTTTTAAACAAAAACACATGTTACACTTCTTTTGTTTACTTTTTCCTTGTTACTGTGTACTTTATTTTGTCCAACCCACCCGGCAACCCAAGGCCTATTAGCGAAATACGAATTCCCCTGAGGTAGTGCATGTCACCAAACACGTTTTAGGGCTATTCCCTGTCTCTAAAATTTAGTCAAAATCCTTCCACTGGATTTTGATATATATTATATATATTACAGACAGACGACAGATGACAGACAGACAAACAGACATAGCTCGTATCACAGAAAACATACTACTATAACCACTACTATAACCTGTATGGTTATAGTAGTATGTTTATGGTTATATTGGTATATATAGTGTATGTATGTTTTTTCCTTCCATCATGGTGTATGTATACACTATATATACTATATATATAGTACTATACTATATATACTACTACTATATACTACTACCATATATACTACTATATACTACTATATATATACTATATATATATATATATATAGTATATATAGTGTATGGTTATATTGGTTATAGTATTATATGTTTTCTGTGCTCGTATTGACATATTATAGTATGCCTATAGGATTTGTATATCCATTTTGTAATCATTGGTTTAAAGTAAGCGACTCAATCGTACAAAGCAATTTTGGGATAGTAGTAAACATCATTACATTCTTCGCATTCCTGACTGTAAATTAGGAATTAAGTTGTGTTCTGCACGAGTACAAATACAAAATTGAAGGAAAAAGCACATTGCAGAGTAGAGATGAAAGGTATTGGACTAATAAATTTATTTACACTGTATTTAGTACAAAGTATGAAATTGTAAAGGGGTTCCACTGTAATATCCAGCGAGGTAATATCATAGTAGCGCATTGTGAGCTCAATGTCAATGGATGGGAGAGGGGGTGTGGGGTGTTGTTTGGGCGCACGCATAAACAATCATCTCTCTAGGGCTTCTGCAGTGGCATACACACAAACAACCTTCAATAGCCACAAAACTCATCTAATATCCGGCTTAAAACCAACAGTAAAGTACAGACTAACAACAACCTTTGTAAACGTGATCAATCGTGTATAACCGTTATTAGTGCTAATGACAAAATATTTTATGAACCTAAACATTTATATATTCAATCTCTTTGACTTAATATTACTTACTCTGTTCAATCAACTGGTCCGACTTGGTCTCAGCGTACTCGCCCAAGAAGCACCGCTTTTCGATGAACGAACGAAAGGCAACTCCTAGGTCCATGAAAGCGACGAACGCGATCCACCCCCGGAAAGCGTACATCAACTTCTGGTCTATGCTCATCGTCATCTGGCCGCGAGTACCATTCTGTTTCCCGGGGTAAAAAGTCGGTACTCGGTACCGGTACCGCTCGCCGGTAGTTAGGTTAGTGCGGTCGGTACTCGGTGGCTACACCGGGGACGGACACTACTATTTGTGGCACCGAACTAAACGACAGCGACATCTACCGCGATCGATCGAAACTGCTAAATTAGCGCTTGCGCGGTTCGGTGCCTCGGGCGCGGATCAATGGGATATTTTATTGCTTGTGGGATAATCTCTACAGTTGTTTAAGTAGATTTTTATTGTTTAAAATATTGTGACAACTTTACACTGATTGTACTTTATTTATTGTGATAATCTCCTACCAGCAACTTGATGCAGGAAATAGTAGGATGTTTGTTTAGAATATTGGGGGTGTTAAGAGGGATTTCACCGGCAAAAGGAGGGAAATATTTTGCGACGAGGTGGGATTGGCAGACCGAGCTCCTGACAGAATTGTCCGGCTTTTTGTGATGTTTGAGATACTCTCTGATCAGAGATAAGACGTCTCTTTGCTGGCAGCTCTTTAAAAGATAAACAATCAGTTTTACCGGCAAGGTTTAGAATATTCCCTTGTCAAACAAAATAATCACGCTTTGGACTTCAAACCATCCTGAGCGTTTATTTGTATACCGTCAAAATTAATTGTATCTTAATGAATTATTCATTGATTATTGTATATGTCCGTTTTTAAAATACAGTAGTTATTTTGATTTATATAGAAAAATTCCAAATGTTAAATGATAGCCTTTACATTTTTGCTAAATAATTTTGTATTTTGGTTTCATGTGGCCTATTATAGTTTTTTTTTTATTTGATATACTGCAGGTAAATTTAGATAGGAATATTATTCTTGCAATATTTTACAAGAACCATATTATTCAATGAAACCAGTTGCCAGTGCTCACAATAGGCTCTTTGATTCAAAAGCTTGAAATCTAAAGATTTAAAGAAGTAATCTTCTAAAGGTTTATTTCATGTTTACGTTGATTTTTTTTTTCACGTTGGTGATTGTTTTTTTTTTTTTAGATCTGACAAGTACATAACATTATTTATAGTGAATTTGAACATTTTCAACCAGATGCTCTTTCACTGGGAGTAAAAAAAAAACACTGAATTCGCATAGTTTTAATCCTATCTAACTGATAGGAAAAAAATTGTGGGAATCAATACCGTAGTGAAACCTCAAAGTTTAAGTACCTCTCAGTGAGGCTCTCACCCATTAACGATGCAATATGGAGTTCCTGAGGGATTAGTTTTAAACCTATTTCTGTTACCTGAGGGGTCTACTGTACAAGGAGTCACTTGGGGCATAGGCACTGATGAGTGTTAAGAGACAAAACTCACGATCCAATTTATAGCCAATTGTTCAGAAGGAGAGGATAAGAAAATAACAAAAAAACAGGTGATAAATATGTATTTTAATTGAGGATAAAAACTTCTTATATTTGAGCAGTTCTTCTCAAGGATTCGCCAGTGAGACGATAAAGATTCCACTGTTCGGCATCTGTTAAGTTGGCGGCCCCAAAAGCCTCGTAGAACTTACGAGCAGGGTTCCATGCCAAAACAGAAAACTCAAGATAGGCACAGTTCTCTTGTACAGCCTTCTGTAACAGTTACAAGCGAACAAATGAACAGACTAACAGACTACATGAATTTGTAAAATGAACTAGAGTAATGTTACTTATAACTTATAATTGTTCTATCTGCTTGGTCAGGGCATATATTGTGAATTTGAGAAAGAGGTTTTGGACACAGAAAGATTTAGTGATTTTGGACCATTACAGTAGGTACGAAATACTGTAATAGTGACTTTTGTCCCAACCTCTAAACACCTCCCACCACAGCATGTACTACGCTGCTTTTTTGCTTACTCATGAGTAAGCTCCTTTTGGACATGCAAAAGTACAGTAGTAATTCTTCGCGTCATGCACGGGGTTTTTTATTCAACTTGTCTCATAAATCCGCACTAGTTGCACACTCCTACAATTTTCAAAATGTAAAAAATTATGTGAAATAATAATCTGCAATAAATAATTGAAATTCCCTACCTTGGCAACAGTTTTGAAGAGTTGAGAACCGATATGCTGATTTCTGTATTTTTCATCCACATAAAGATCTTCTAGGTACATTTTCCTACCATTCCAGGTAGAGTAGGTATAATAATACAAGGCATAGCCGACTAGTTTGCTCTCTGTAATATAATAAAATGTATATGTTATAAACAATCTTGTATAGAAAATGTATGAAAATGTTGCAGATGAGCTAATGCACGGTATACTCAATATAAATAAATTTTATTTATTTCCACGGCAAGCAGCCAATTTGCAAACAGACAATTTGTGGTAAGAGAAGAACTCGAAACATGTCTTTTAAAATGTTTAGTTTCAACACTCAAGATGGTGCATAGCATACGCTTGATAACAAAGCTCTTAATATACACTTTTTTGCAGGTACTATAATAATAAATACATCAATTATAATTGAGATTCTCAGTGAAAGGCATAAGCGAATTTCTTTTGTGACGAACTAAAATAAAAATAATATTTGTGGTCTGATTTTGGAAAAATTGTTTATGATACTTAAGTTATCTTTTTGAAACACGTTAGGCTACAAAGTTTGTTAGGTACCAGAAATAGCCTACCTTCTTCTTCAGAATGGTGTTCAGCAACATAGCAGAAAAAAATGGGTGGGTTGGTTTCAAAACCATCTTTTTCCAGAGCTGAAAACAACATTTTTGAAATGAAACTGTTTTTAATACAAACTAACAATATATTTTCATAAAATGTTAAAATGTTGAAATAAGTAATGCTCTCGTACAATATTGGGCTATAATGATAGATTTATAAGATTTTGTAAATGAGTAATTTATTAATTTTTCTCAATGGTTACACAATTTTACTTTGAAATATATGGCATTTGTAAATAGGTACTATAGTGCACCTGTTGCTTAAAAGAGTAAACTCAAAGATAATGTAATCAATCACTCCACACCAGGTATCGAAACTGAAAACGAACTCTCTTGTGTCCATCATGTGTTAGTGTTTACTATGAACAGCTGTAATTAATATTATTCATCTGTTTAAGTAAACAAAATCTCTTCTTCATAAGAAATACATTGGGATTTTGATGGTCTGTGGGGCAAAGCCCGAGGAGTCTGTGAAAGGAGTCTGTGATTAAAGGAATCTGTAAAAGAGGGTGTCTACACAAAAAATACTTAATTTTGACACATGTAAAAATCCGTCCATTATTAACAGAGGAGTAGTGTTTCGTAGAAATCGCCTTCACGTATTATATATAAGGATAACATAGCTAACTTATCACTTACTTTCATATCCAATCTTCGGTCCATTTGGCATTTCTTCAAAATCTGCCAGTTCCTAAAAACAGATTTAATTTTAAATATCAATCCAACTAAAGTTTTCAATTAGATTAAGCTTATTTGAAATCAGAAAAGGAAACAATGGTTGTGTTAAGATGTTACATTTGGATTTGGACTGGGGAAGACTCTTCTATGTAAGTAAAAGTAAAAACCCAAAGGAAAAACAGGTTGAACAAACAAGGACAAATTTTAAACAAAAGACTTACAACATGTGTTTATACCAAGCCATCTACAGTATAGGCTACTAGAAAATTACAAAATACAGTACAAATGAAAAAACGTTCAGTTGTAACTATTGGGCAAAGGCTACACCAGCAGATTACTCGACATTGGGAAAAATAGTACCAATTAAAGATGATGATTATTTTACTCGGCTCTCTTCCAATAAAACACATCCCCCCGCCCCAATTAGGCCTACTTAATTAGCCAATTTTAGTTGAACAAAATTATTCTATTTTTACCTAAGTTATCCTGCTACCAGACACACAAACATAAATTAAAATGTAAAAGGAGAGTATTATTTTATCTCTGGGGGCGTGAAACGAAAAAGTAAATCTGTCCTGGGTAGGTTTTAGCATGAGACTTATGATATCAGTTTATCCCCTAATCCTATGGGAAATTCGCTTAACGTGATCAATATAAAATAAAATTAGAAAATCATCAAAATTTCACGGCATGAACAACCTTGATACAAGGCAAACCCCTTAAGTAGAATCAAGTATAATATACTTATATTATATTATAGACGTAATTTTACCTAATTTTATGGGAAACATTACTATTTTTATTAGGTAAAAAATTTTACATTGTTAGACATTTTTGTGCACAAATAAAGTAAATTTTACTAATAAAAGAATCCATCCATACAACCTTACAAATCGATTTAAGTTCAAAGTAATAGTTCTAAACTTTTTTTTAAATCTTACATTAATTATGTTTTAAGTTTACCTGTATTAATCTCCTGATTTCTTTGCAATCAGATTTTACTCCTTCCCTTATAACAACATTATTCTGTGGCATCATGGACCTAAAATTAATAAAAACACTAAACAAAATTAAATTAATTCTCTACGGGTAGTAAAAATGCTTCTACGAAATTATCTGAAACTAAAGCACCAATAATGAACGAACTTAAACCTAAGCTCTAATTGATAGTGATACTGTATAGTATACCCAAATGCTACATAGGGAAATAGCTTACACCGTATGCGAGTGAAGTCACTGCAGTCGCCGTTTTGGCGTTGATCACAACGATGGTTGATCATTGTCACGGCAGCGTCCAGCTCGGGAATTACCATTGCCCAGTGGTGGTGTAACTCTGAAGCGGTGCCTGGCGAACGAAACCACATTCATCCGGTTTTTCCTAGGCGCGGAGAGGAGTAGGATTGGGGGAGCGGAGTGATGAACGCGGAGAGTGGACTCCACTTGTCTCAGGTAATTGAATGTTACTAGTTTTCTTAAAAGCGGAGCGGAACACCATGTTAATCTCTTTTCCGCTCTCCGCGTTCCTCTCTCCGCTTTCGCGCCTAGGAAAACCCCCTTTAGGACGTGATTGTAGTATCCGCTCCTCGCTCTGAATATGATATTTAAATTAGAAACCAATTATATAGTTTCTTCTATATTCCCACTTGTTACGATTAAGTTAACATTGTACGTTAATAGTTGTTAGGTTTTAAAATGTTACGCTTTATTTTAAAATAGTATAAATATCTTCAATTAAACTATAT